ACACTAATTTTCTTCGCAGAATAGGCCATGAAAATAATCAAAGGGCTGGAGCATCTCTCCTACGAAGACAAGCTGAGAGAGTTGGGGTTGTTCAGCCTGGAGAAGAGAAGGCTCCAGGGAGACCTTATTGCAGCCTTCCAGTACTTCAAGGGGCCTTATAAGAAAGATGGGCACAGACTTTATAGCGGGGCCTGTAGCGATAGGACAAGGGGTAATGGAAATCTTCCCTCATCACCAGGAGTAGAGATGAAGTTTTAGCACTGCTTCTCTACTAAATACAAGTCAGCTAGGACTTCTCACACGTGATCTTCTGGAAGATGCTGCTAAAGATGAAAGCCAAAGATTTTTATAAAGGTGTTTGTTAGTACATCAGACTGCAAGGAATACTCTCCTTTGAGGATCTCAAGCACTGAGCAGGCAAAAAAGTAGACTGGAATACATATACGTCAAAAAAGAACAAAACTGAAAATCCCTTCAACCATATAACGAAAAAAATCAGTATTCAAAAATAATTTACAATGGAGAAAGGTGCAGATTAGTTGCATTGCACACTGTTAGACAGGTAGAGAAGAAATAAGGGGCTATTAGAGGGACAACAGTATGCATTGCTCAGATTTACCAGATGCCAGGTACAAAGGGAACATGCCTGCCCATCGTTAGGTTGAAGACATTATGTAATTGTTTAGACGGATATATAGTTCCTACTTTCAAACCATATGCATGTAGTACTCATAAAGAAGAATATGTATCTATGAACATACATCTAACAAATTATAGCCATCTATGGGATGGGGATATTACTAAGGCACATAATGTCATTAGACTGGATTAAGTTCCTGAGATCAAAGTATTTCATGTCAGCATTTATCATAAAGCAAGTGTTGTGCCTGGAGTTCAGTTAAGCCTAGTCAAAGGAGCCAGGATAAATCTGACCAAGGCAGAGGTCTACAATGACATCTATAGTGAATGGTAAAAGGTAGAGATTTCTAGTGCCCAATTTATCTCTCTCTTAAAAAGATCTCTAAGGCAGGCCAGATGAATTGTACCCTAAATGTGCCCTGACTTCTCTCCACCTATTATAAAGGGGGACTAGGATGACTAGCTCAGGCATTGATTCACTACTGATATTTTCCAGAAAGTACAACTCACGTATGACTGATGATTTTGAGATAAAAACTGTACAGAGCTTTTGGTCATACTGCAATACCCACAGTCACAGAGACAGTGAGAATGATAAAGAATGTTTCTATCGTCTTTGACTAGTCAGGTGAAAACAACTCTCCTCTTCTGGCAAAGACATTTTTAAAGCTATTCCCATCTTTATTACACCTCCATATTTTAATTATGTTGAAGAACTTAATCAGTCAGCTGAATAAATCTGATGAACCAAAAGGTCTGTAGGCCAGTTAACTTTTTAGACCACTTGACAGGCTCTTGCATTTAAATAATTCTCGGTTTCAAGTCTCCATTTTGAAATCTTCACAAATTCAGAGAAACTGAGCCAACTGACATCCCAAAAGTCTAACTCATTCTAATTCTTTGGTATTATTAACAGGAAGAAGCAAGTCTGGCAACATTTACTTTTGTAGGACTGTGTTTCTCATACATCCTTCAGATGCAAGAGAATAGTTCTAATCTGCTATTTTCCTTGAGAATGCGATAATACATTATGCCAAAGAGTAATACTATATATAACCTAAATTGAAAAGAGAGGGAGCTCGCTTTTCATTTTGCAAGTTCTGCTTTGTCTGACTAAGCACAGACTATTTTAGAAGTACTGCAGACCCCTTAAAGCTCTCAGAAACTAGTAGAAGAAACGCAAGCACTTGTGACAAACTTATGAAAAGGGGTAAATCTACAGATAAAGACACCTCTTTCACCTTCCCATGGATCAGCTTAGAAAGCAAAATAAATACAGAAGTATAGAACATTATAAAGAAATAAACATTTTTATTGTTAAATGGCAGTCATGGACACCATTGGTTTATTGTTTCCTTCTTGGATGTGTCCTTTCTCCTTTAAGCACCATAAGATAACATATAGCTTGTGAACAATATTTGATTAACAGTAAAAGAAACATTAAATCCTTATTTTACCACCTAAAAACATTTGTAAGTAAAGGTAGAACATATTTCCCTGCAAAGCATTTTTTAAAGTCTTTTATTCCAATACCACATTTTATTAATATATAATATCATCAATAAACTAGGTAAAGGTCAACATTTTATACAAGAACCAAAAAGTTTCATATCAAGTATAATAATGTTTGAAATTCTTGTAACTTGACAACAACTGTAGTTACTCATAAGAAGCATACACCAATCACATACTGTAATGTGCCTGAGACAAGTAGGGTCTCACACAGCCTTAAATTTATTTTAAGTAAAGATATTGCCCCGTGTAAAGAAAAAATAAAAAGCAGCATCACTGAAAACAAAATCAGCATCTTTCTTAAATACTGGTAATATATCTATGCCTATCTTACCTTTTCCCTGATAAGTTTCCTGGTCAGATAATTAGATTCCATCCACTAAGATTCCATCCATTAAAGATGGATTTCTTTTTAAGCAGCCAATCCCTTTCCCTTAATTCATAAAGATCTGTCCCAAAGAAGTCTTGTACCGTTCTAAAAATGATACAATTTGCTGTATTGAATTGGACTGATTAGGAATGAATTCTTTACATCCATTTAGTGTCATGTGAGGTGAATAAAATACAGAGACTTTACTTCCGTGTAACAACTGAATTTTTATCCATTTTAAAATAAATAGGATTTTGCTTTAAAAGTATGTATTTACATTTAAATGCTACATTAAACCACTCTGTAATGTGTTAAAATACTTCAAAATTTAAAATTATATTAAAATATATACATGCTTGCTGCCAACATCTGAAAGCATGTCAGATCACTAAAAGGAACGCAATTGGCTTAGCCACTGGAACGGAAGATTCTTGAAACGACAAAATAGGTTTTGACTTTTAGCTTTTTCTGACAGCGTTGGTAATTTTTTTTTATTTAATTTCCTCCTAACGTTCAAGACTGAGAATCTGGGTTCAGAATATAATAAACAAATAAAAATTCTCTAACAGGTGAAGCAGTTAGGTATAAGAGGCTGAGACATCATAGAGTTAAAACCTTGAAGGATGTGATGATATCAACAAATAAAATAACTAGCCACATTTCCTTTACTGAAAAATTTGTTTCTAAAGCCAAAACACTTCTTTTGTATCCTGCTCACAATTTTACTATAGGTCTATTTTAAAAACAAAACTATATTTTACTTAAACACAAGCTAAAACAAATATTATATGCAATAGTATAACAGACATAATTCTTAAAAAATGCTTTATCTGAATATTTTGCTGAATTTGTATGGCTGTCTCCATTTCTTCTCAAACTTTTTTCTGCTTTTATTACTTATATTTCATTCATGTACTATATGTGGGTAAGAAGAAAAACTGTTTTTCCCCTCCTATTGCCCCCATTACATCCAATGTCAAGTTTTGTACAAATAGCAATATCATCTCATGTTGCATAATTTATTTTTATTTTATTAAATTTAACACGAATGAAAATGTCTTTAAATAACTGTGTTTTGAGGCAGTCTAACCAATCCAAATTTTCAAGCAAAGGTGGTTAAAAATAAAATATCCGATGCCTGATACACTGATACACAGAAACATGCTCTAAATGAGAAAAAAAAAAAAAAGAGAAAGCAAGATTGAATGATGTTTTAAGGGTTTATTCTGTAGTACCACATAGTACTGTAGTACTCTTCTGCACTAAGAGAAAATGATTCCTTTTTTAATCAGTGATGGATTAAATCATACAAATGCAACTATGTCACAACAAAGAATATTACATAGACAAATTGAATGATCCAAAATATTTTTTTCCTCTTTGTATGGCAGACAATAGTCTTATTAATTAAAATTGCAAACCCTTGCTTACTAGTTTTTAGGATTTAGAACAATTTATAATATACATACATGCACACACAAAAGTTTAAGAAACTCTAGATGAACATAGCGATAGTTTAAGTTGATGTAATGAGTATTTTAACATAATGCTCCCAGAACAGCATATGATAAACAAAAGTTGCCTTATTACTAAAGTAGGAAGTTAATGATTTCTGTTCTTTATAAACAGTATGCAATTTTAAATCTCTTTTTATAACTCAATCTTTTTACCCACTGAGATTTTTCAAAATTATACCAAGAACATTTTCACCAGATTAAATTTCTTAACCTATTTTACATTTCTGTATTCGCAGCACAGTGCATGCAAATAAATGGGGAAATGTACATGCAAACTTGGCTAAAGTTACATTCAGGTAACTCTCTCTTTTTCAAGTAATGACATCTGAAAAACATATTCCCTACCTTATATAGTATCTACTAAAACAAACAAACGAACGAAACAAATCAGGCCCAAAACATATAATAGTTGCTCTGATCACAAAAGCGGTTTCCTTCAAGAAAAGCACAGCACAGCACATTAATTAACAGGCATAAAATAATTCACAATACATACAATATCAGAGGTTTACATACCATCAAGAAGGCAAGAAAAAAAGCAGGAAAGGAAGGCAAAAGAACAGGAAAAGATATGGGGAAAGGGAATACTACAAAAGTGCTACACACTTTATGTGGTATGCAATATTTTTAAAATAGGCCTGATTTATTTTCATGTACCTGATATTGTAGCAGAATAACCACAAACCAAAAGCATTTAAAATTTTCTACATCCATTCCCTCCTCCTTACTGCTTTTTTAAAATTTCATAATAAGTAAAGTTAATAAATGTAGTAAAAGTGGGGAAGAGATTTCCTGGAGAAATGTAGGCAGGAAGATAAAGTTTTAAAGGTATCGTCAGGTCTGATCTCCATGTAACCTGAGGCGTATACTTATTTATCAACAATTACATCACAGTTAGTTCTTGAATTACATTACATTAAATAAGAACACCCAAACAGGTTAGGAGATGATGTTAATATTACCTTTGTAAAATGAGTGGGCAAAGCTCTGCTCAGGAATTAACTTGGCAAGGAATCCATGGTTCAAACTTGGGTGAGGGATAGATGGTATGACCACAACTGTGGAGAAAATCATGGAATCAAATGTGAGCCAGCTAATATTCATGTGTGGCCTGGTCCACTGTGGATCCATGACAGATATCCTATCTCATTGAAACATGCAAATATGGTATTATCAACAAATAAATGCATTTCTAAAGGAAGGAAACAAGTTCTGTATCAAGAGATAGGAAACAGCATACCTATTTTTTGGGCACTTCAAGAGCAACATTCATGGGGAAAAACAGACACAGAGAGAGAGAAAAAGAGAGACAGATGCACACCCACATGGACAAGACAATCATGGATGAAATAGTTCACTGAAACTTGCAGTTTCTTAGTGCAGAACCATAACATATAACCATGAAGGCACAAAAAAATTATGATTTCTCATAACTGATGACATTCATGTAGTATATTTCCAATGGAAAGCCTACAAGCACATGGACTTAAAAAATTATGCACAAGTAGTAAATTAAAACATCATGATGAATCAGAAAATAATGACTAAATGTAAATATGACACAAATTGGAAGACAAATTCTATGAAGAATAAAAATTAGCAACTCCACAAATAAAGTAAGTAATTAAAAAACAATACAAGAATTAAAACATACATAAAGAGCTTCATGGACAAGTTCAGTTACTGTTTTCAGCTCTTTTAATGCAGAAGGTACAGTTATAATCAATCCAATCAGACTTGAAAAAACCTACTGAACTGACAGTGTAAAATATTTGAAACAAAGCGGGGTAAGGTTTGGATTCCTAATTTCTGACATGTTCTGACAGCTAACAGACTCCCTCCCTCTCAGGCTGAAGAACACATGCTAGGAAAAACCACTACTACTAATAAAAATCACGAACAGTTCAGTCAAAGAAGGCAATAGAAATGTTTCCTTTTTATTATATTGTTTCCACAGGCTTTTAAATGCAGGCACCAACACAGCAGGACTCCAAGAAAGTACTCAGTCCTCTACCACTACCCTTCCACAAACCTCCTCACTCAAACAAAAGGAGTTCACATGGGCAAACAGCTGTGTTTGCTGTTTATACATTTCATGGTATAGAGTTCAAGATATCTGTTCTGCCTAACAAATAACAGATTGAGGAAGTTGTGCTGGTCAACTATCTTGTACTTCACAGCTTTAACTCCATCAGGCACCCTGGTTCTTTTTAATTGTTTTCAAATTAAAGAAAAAAAGGCATAAAAAAGCAATATGCAAATGAAAATCAATTATATGTTATAAGGAAATATACAGAATAACTGAAATCTGCCAGTGTATGTATAAGAACCGAATGATTATAGAAGAAGTAGCAAGTAATTTCCTATTAGGATCTTAAGCTACTCACTAAAATACTTTGTAGTAAAATAAGTAGATAAATCAAGTAACATTTGAAGAAAACAAATGTACCTGTACTTGTCGGTGAATTTATTTCTTGTCTGATATTTCTACCTGCCTGGCTCCCAGACCTTGCAGTTTCTCGTTGTGGTTCTAGTATATCGCGGTATTTGGAGACCATCAGAACAGAAATAAAGTAGACTACAGCCAAAGCTAAAAACTGAGCCTGTTTGCTGTCATCCTGGTTGGAAAAAAAGGAACAGGCTTTAATAGTGGACATTTTCATAGAATTTTCACACAAGATCATCACAAGGCTTAATAAACAATACCTTTCTGAAACGTTGTATCTGTTAGCATAGTAGCAGATGGATTATGTAGAAGATTTAATGGATTTTCAGTGGAGTACTACGCACACACTATGTGTTAAGTACTGAATTTTACAGGTAATTTGGCAACTACACAAATCTTTGGAACTGTGGAGCCAATGGGCTTTTCAGAACAGAAGCATGACTCTGCTCTGAGAGTGCTTTCAAGGCTGCCCAACAGCAAAGGCAACTAACTGACTTCTGCTGCCCCAAGGATGAGACTCCAAAAGCTCCTGCCACAAGAAGGTGAGGGGTACTCCTGCCTTCACTTACCTTAGAGGGAAAACTAAGCTCACAGATGCTTTTCTGGCTAACACTGGATGCATAAGCAGGCATAACAGCTTCTGGCAACATGTAAAAGCAGGAGGGCTATGGCCATTGTTTTTCTTCCAGCAATAAATCCCAGCTCGTACATTCTGGCTTCTCCATCAACAGGACTGTCAGCAGCAATCCTAGTTTTCCAGGACTCTGGTTTAAGTAAATGCCAGGACAACAACAACTTTGCTGTCTTCTTTTCCTCCCACCCCATGTCATCTGCTGTTCTATGGCAACTACCATCTATGGCTTAGATACCATCCTGAGTGAGCTTAAGTTGCTGTAGTTCAACTGAAATGTCTTTTATTATTATTACGGTATAAAACACCACATGGCAGAATTAAGACTTCAGCCTCTTATCTACTCTTATAGTGGCTTCACCTTCTCTCAACTCCACAAGTACGCATTTTCTCTTACAAATACAGTGCTTGCTTTCCATGTTTTCTGGGTATTATTTAATTTGTCTGCATGTCTTTGCAATTCTTAAAATAACTAGAAATCCCCTTATTAAGTTCTTTCATAGAAATGCCAGAAACAGTATTTCCCCTATTCCCTTCTCCTCTAGTTAAGAAAAGAGCAGGTGACAGAAGATCTCCACCCAAATTCAACCTTGCCCTTTCAAGATGATCAGGTCATACTGACAGATAATTTTTTTTGTGTCAAGCTCTACTTTCTTCTTTTTAAACCTATTCCTAACTTCAGTCATCAATCCACTTGAACTTAGGTTGGAGCAGTTTAAACATAACATCTATTTGCGTATATATAATAATAAATCCTATTGTACTACTTTCAAAACCAAACACATTGTGGTGCAGTTTTATGCTAAAAACAGTTGCAGAGAAATCGGGAAAACATTTTAATAGATATTTATATATAGTATACGTATATATGGGTTTAGCAGAAGTAAAAATTGTCTTTATAAATCAATTTGGCACAGTTCTGTAATACATATAATAATTCTTCCTCCTAACCTGGATGCACAAATAGCTGACCCCTAGTAACACAGTTTTAATCAACGTAGGTCATAACTCCTTTATTCTGTCTGTGTTTATTTGGCTAATACAAGATATATTAAATTCTGATACAATCAAAATCTATTCCAAAATATAAGTGATGATTTTGAAGAAGAAAGACTTACAGCACATGTTACTCACCACATCACGAAAAACAACAGCTCGCAGACGATTGATATCAACATCCTGAAGAAGCCTATCAGGGTCTTTTATAGGAGAAAGATTGCCAGGGACATTTTCAAGTGGAGTCTAAAGATAAAAAGTAGTGAATTTTTTTTTTACCTCCCAAATATCAAAGCATTTCTGTCAGAACCTTAATTTGACTCCTTTTTTAGATATTGCATCAGATGTTTTTTTACTACCAATATACTTCCAACATAATGCTCAGACAGAGCAACTGTATCTCTATCCAGAGTTAAGATAATTTGCTCACAAAAGTTTATTCCAGATTACAGTTGTTTCATAGCAATACAATAAATTATTTTTAATACATGTGTAAAATTTAAAAATGATAAGCAGAAATATTAAAAAAAATCAGTTTATGTTCATTTTACTGAGAATTATTACAGACTACTACAGAATAACTGCTATTATTACAAAATCATAGAGTAGTATTCTTCCTTCAAAAAAATTATAAAGTATTGCAAATGATGCCTAAACACCTAAAAGTCTCCTTATACCGATTTGCTTTGCACTGAATGTGATAATGTGGAGAAATGTAATGTTTTTGTGAGGTTCAATGAAATAATATCGTGAAAGGAGCTGAGTTTGTAAATTCTACGTGAAAAAGTCTTTAGAGAAGAAAAAACACTGAATTTAGTAATGAAAATATAGTAGCAGAAAAAGGGATCCTTTATGTTATTACAAAGTGTTGTATTTTAGTCATGGGCTGTGCTGGATTCTTTGAGATTTTAGTTTCAGGACTCCCAAAGTTTTAAAGCTCTAAACAAGTTTAAAAAAAAGATGGACAATGAATTAATGAAACTGGAAAAACTAAGGTGTAACGGAATAATAAATAAGTTTCATTCCGAAAATCAGGTAGAAAATGCTGATGTCTAATGTGCGTGCAAAAGTCTGTTGAAGTTAGCGGGACTCAGATATTCCACCAACAAAGATGTGACTGCAGGATTTAATCAGAACTGGAAGTGCCCTGACAGATTAAAAAAGCTGTGCAGGTATATATGACAGATGTGAGTAAGGGGACTTGCTCTTTGAAGTTGACCGAGCAAGAGTGAAAATGCTGTTTAAAATTGCTCCAGTCATACCACTGCATTAACATTTTCTTGTTTCAAAGAAACCCCCTCACATACTTTTACTTTAAGCCAGTTAATAGCAAAAACCTAAGCTTTTGCCAAATATTTGAGAAGGCAGTTACAATAATTTTCCGATCCTATAAAGCAGCGGTATAGACTTGCCATTGCTGTTGGTAACTGAAGACTGGGTTACCTTGGTTGCTGCTGATGCGGTTACACCCTGAAGAGCATCTTGAGTTTTACTGCTGATTAATGACGTCTTGTTCACTCTCTCTCTCTGCCTTTGCCGACATTCTAAGCAGTTTCTCACAGCCACACAACAAACTAAAAAGAAGTTATGAAAATACTACAAATTAGAATATTGGCTCATTAGTATATTCATCAATTAGCAGTCTGTACATCTAGTTTGATATTTCAATAACCATGTCCAAATAGTAAGTGCAACACAGTTCTCACATTAGACTCTGTACTAAGAAGGTGTTATGGTGACTTACTCACTTTATTCTTTAGTTGAGCAACTGTTTTATATAACTACTATATCATTATATTAAAATTTGAAAATTATTAGTCCCTGAACTGGAGCTCTCATATGTTATTGATTGGTTATCAACACTTAAAATCTGAAAGTACTTATGTACAGATAGAATAAATAAAAAAAAAGGAGTAATTTAGAATTTGATGAAAACTGATCACTGTGAATAAACCACAAGTTTCATACCAGAAGCAGTATAATCATCAATGATCTAATAAGGGGTATGAACAATAACAGGACAAAATCTCAGTATAAAAATTATTTATCTTTTGAGAGATGAAAAAGTATGTGGGACATAACATTAGCAAAAACAGCATTATGCCAGATGACAGCCAAAATTTAATGTTCACAAGGACAAAATTATATAATTTGCGTAGAATTGTTTGAATGATTCATAAATTTTTAGATTTCCTAAATTAATTGTAACAGTATATAGCAGATAGATAGTAAATAGTGAAGAGAGGTGCCAGGCTGTTGCAACATATATTAAGGTCAACAGAGACTGCGCATGCATCCCATGCTTTTAATCTTACATAACCTATAAGTAAGTAGTCTTCCAAATCCATGGAGACTTGGATAAGGAAACCTGCAACAGGCAGGTAGCAAAGCAGTCTTAAGAAAAAAAAAAAAAAAATCTCTATTTACTTACTTATATTTAATATTTTCACTCCCCCAAAATATATACAACTTGAAATACATAAGAAAGAACAATTTCAGACATGTGATTTTAACTTATTCTTGTACCTAAATTGAATTAACCTTAAAGCTGTATCAAATCAATAATAAACAGGATTTTTATTTTATCACATCATAGTCAGTACAAGTCCTTTCCTACATATGTTGCTATTTGATCCATCTGTATCTCATTGATCTGTAAGTAATTATTTAATACATACTGTCTGCTGACTTACCAAGCCTTAGGCACTGTCGCATTAGACCTCCAGAAGACATGTTTTTTTCAGCTTCAATCTCACTAAAATTTAGAGAACTGGCAAATACTAGTACATCAACCATTGCCATCAGACGGCTGAGAAAAGTTACTGCTGTCTCTGCTGACATTCCTTGTGTCACTTCAATATTTTCCAATTCAGTCTTTAAAAGGAGATAATTGAATTAAACAGTTTGAATACAACTGAAATATAAAGACAGCACCTACACATACAAATCTAAATCGTTATGCTTAATGCCAAATACATTGAAAAGTTATTTAAAAATCTCCTACAATTACCGTTAACATAAACTGTGAGTGAAATGCAAAGGAAAGGCAGCATGGAGAGTGAGAAAACTGTTTACATTTACATGTTGACCTAGAAAAAGTCTAATATAAATGAGAAAGTTATTAGCATAAAGACAAAGTGTGACCAGATAGCAAAACAATGCACAGCGTATAAGGGTGCAACGAACTCTTACGTTCTTTGACAGGCTAAACAAACTGACAGGTAACAGATGAAAGTAATTACTGTCTGCATAGCTTTTATGTTCCTTTATGTAAACAAGTAAATGTGAGGAGTGGAGTGGGAAAAAAGAGACAGTTTTGCCCTGTTTCCATGAATTAATTCACCCTGGGAGTGCTTATGCCATATAGGGACCTGACAGAGTCCAACCCTCCTAGAGATCAGAGGAAAGTATGTTTACTCCCTCATGAAAAGGGAACACGGGGGAAGGAAAAACAGGACAAGTTATCCGGCGCGCAGCTCACATCTCCCAGAGGATGGCCATTCCTTTCCTAACGTAGCGTTAGACTCTCCTTAACAGGAATCCACAGAAAAATGCTGAATGAGCTCAATATATCTGAAATCTAAAAGGGGTCATGCTTTTCACCAAAAAGATACCTACGTGTCCAGAATCGTGCTTTCAAATGTATAACAGTGCAGAGAAGTGAGTAAACAGTAAGTTTAATTAAAAAAATAAATATCTGTTTAAACACAGTTACCTATGGATCTAGGCAAAACTGAAAACAGGATTTAGTACTTGGCTGTGTCCGCATTTATATGCTTAAATACTATTTTTAAAATTCTTTACAGGTGGCTGATTCTTATTGATTGTCAACAAGATTTCAGATCGCAGGGCTTTTCTGAACACAGAGTTCGGTCCCTTTGAAAAGTGTTACTTTCATTGTCTTTGTTTTTATTAATTTGCTTAGGAATATCTATGAAAAGAATTCAAAATATATTTTGTGCTGTTAAAGAAAAAAGAAGTGCTCTAAAGAGAAAGAAATACAGAAAAGTAAAAAATCCTTTATTCCCATACTTCTAAAATAGCATTTTCACTCATGAGTCACTTAGAATGTTTTACATCAAAAATTATAAAAGTGCCAACTGTGCCAAACAGAATGAAGGAAACAACTGTTTTGAAAGATAAAGGATATAAAGTGGCATGTGTCACCACAATGATAGATACCACTTCATTTAATTTCTCTTAAGGATGTAACATGTCGGTTACATGAGTGATTTGGGAAGGGCTGTCATCTGTCTGATCTGCCCAATAACATCAGAAAAATGGTAAAACGACAACTCTCAGAAGAATGATTTCCAGCCTATCTTCTTTAGCCAGGTCTCCCCTGCTTAGTGTGTGTTGTGTTCCTACTTTTTGGAAAAATAAAGTTGCTGGTTTTTTATAACAGAGTGGAACATCATTTTTGAAAGCACTCAACCAAATAAAATAGATTTGCAAAAATCTATAACCATAACAGTCTGCTAGAAAAACTCATAGGTGGTTACAGGAACTTGAACTTCAAACTCATGCTTGATATAACATAAGGCTTGCTAGCAGCCAGTTGAGTGTCTGCTGTTGATTTTTCTCAAGCTTCAACTGTATTGCATCAATCATAGTCTTAAATACTCTACTTAATATATCTATTGCTTTTTTAAAAAAGTTATGTAATAAATTCATTTTATATAACATTTTACCAAGATTTTTGAAATGAAAAAACCCCAACTTTTTTTTTACAAATCTCCCTAAAATTCTGCTGGATAGAAGAAAAAAAAAAAGAGTGTCAGTTTTTTAACAGCAAAACTTACCATTGGTTCTACCTGTTAAATACATCACATTGATATTCTATTAACATTTAAAATAAACTCCATTGTTGATGAAGCTGCCTTCAGGTATTAGCAATGTTTTAGGTTGGTGTAGCTCAAGAACTCTTTAAAAAGTGAACTGATCACCATGCCATGACTGGTTAGGATACTTTAAGAGCAGTTACAAGTCCTCCATACAATTAACATGTTCAGGCCCTAAAGAGTTTTTCTACTGACAGCAACATTTATAACTTAAATTAGCTCATGGACCTGCCTACATTCCGTCTGGCAGCTAACAGCAAGCATCACACTTGACAATGCATTAAGTTACTAAAGGGAAACATGTTAGAAAAAGATAATGATTGCACCCCAATATAGGCCTATTCACATCCTACTATATGACACAGGAAAATAATAAAAAAGCCAAAATATTAAATGATCAAAAAGAAGGTATTTTTGAAAATGCAAAAAACTGAAACTTACAGCAGCAATACTAACCTTAGAACCCTGGACATGCAACAGACAAAACAGACAACAGATCACAACAATAAAAGAAAAAGAAAATTATTTAAGTTAACTAAAAATACAATGTAAAATTGAAACAAATTAGTATCTTGGAATTATACATTTGTTTAATTTATTGTTAGAACATCAAAACATTTCAGCTCAGCATGAACATTTGAAAATAAAGATCTCTAAGAGAGAGCAATGCACAAAGAAAACTGTAAATCTTACATTATTATGGACTTCATGTAAACAATGATTTTTCCAAACCATCTTTTATACAGTACATAGAGAAATTTTACGAAGCAATGTAAACCAAAGTAATGTTTTCACTGATTATGTAGAAATAAAATGAGGGTTTTACAACAAGCCATTTAACTGAGATGTAATAAAGTAGTTAATCTTTGTATGAAGAGGCAAATATGTTTAAAATGCTTTGAGAAAACAAATGTAAATCACAAAAAGCAAACTGGTTCTTCATGCATAATGCTCCTGCCTTTGAATCATAGCTCATCATATATATTACATTTGGGTGTGGTTTCCTCAACCTAAACCAATATTATACTGGATATTTGAATGCTTTTGAACCACAGGAAAAAAAAAATTCACTAAGTCCCTGGGACTGAGTTAGTCTTCAAATTTCAATGTTCACAATTAAAGAGCAGTGTAAAATTTGTATGTTTTAATTTTAGGTAGAAGCACTTTCTCTCTTATCACAACGAGCTAGGAACTAATCCTTAAGTTTTCACTGGTTATGTTTTAAAAAGAGAAAGAAACTGAATTTTCAAAGATATGTCAGTATTTTTGTCATTTAAATAGTGGAAAAAACTAACAGAAAGAAAAACAAGCTGAAAAAAACCGCTTCCTTTCCTTTTGGAACAGAAAATACCATGTTTAACCAATTTTTAAATGTGTCTTCCTCCTTTGTAGCTGGATGCACCTCGAGAATTAACCTATGGCTATTTTCTCTCCATTAGTAGCTGAAAATTTTTACATCAGTGTGCCGCTGTTGATTCTCAGAATTGTTATAGATCACACAGCACCTGTGGCATCACATGAGTCACGAACACGATAATGCTAACACTATACACAGGACATACAAAAAAATATATCATCTTGGCTTTTAATCTACAGACCTAATAAGGCTGTCTTTAAATGTTTAATTGAGTTTTGTAGACAGTCGTTCTTATAACACCAGCAGCCCTCAGATCACAATTTGAGAGCTGCTGTTTTAAATGCTGCAAGCAAGAATTAGAATTACAGGCTTCATAGACTAAGTGGAAAAACAAACTAGTTGCAAGGGGTCTGGAAATTTACTCTCAATTGTCACATATATTTCAACTCCTCAAACTTCTTTTGCTTTATTCAGTGTCCTCAAGTCCTTGTCACAGCTGCTACCCTTGTACTAAGCAATTATTATTTCAAGTTCCTCGCGTGTACTCAAAGTGTTTTCTGGCAACCAGCTGCTATTAACAGAAAGCATCTTCTGCAAACCTTTTTCCTTACAGCTCCCTAAATATGATCTTTTCACACTTGTACACCATCTTAAAAATGTCTTGCTTATAACTAATATTAAAAAAAAAAGCCTCAAAGACCTCCCCAACAGAAAGAAAAAAAAAATCAGTATTTTATATTTTATGCCCTCCTTATAATATTGACAGAGTTATCTAATATCCCCCAATTTAATAAGTAAGACATCAGAATCAAAGTGGAACACATTCCAGCTTATATTGTAAAACAACAAAACTGGTGATATGTTTTTGTTAATATCTGCTTGCACTTCAAATCGTTTCACATATACAATTGACAACCCTTTAAAAACACCAACTTTGAAGCAAGTTCTTGTACAAGACCCTGAGACAGAGGTGGTATAGAATTGAAATCCAGGGAAATACTATAACATGTGGGAATGGATTACTGTGAATTACAGTAAACTTTCCCCTGTATTCCATACAAACGTATAACCTTCACTCCACTCTTCAGTCACTCACAAATTTGTGGGTGGTTGTTTTCACACTTAAAGCACTTTTTCTTTTCTTCTTCCTATTCATATTTAAAGGCTCCTATTCACAGTACTATTCAGATCATCCTAGTCTGGATTAAAAAAAACAAAGCAAAAGGCAGATTTCTATTACAGGAATTCAATAGCCAGGAAATTCCATAATTAAGATTGCCTGTTGTACAGCAGACAAAGTATCATGGAGTAATTTCGACCCAGCCCAGAATAACTGTCATTTCACTACAAATTATCACTATCCAAAAGAAAAAGTCTTTTTGAAACGGGAAATTGCCCAAACATTCATCTTTTTAAAGAAACCGCAACTGCTTTTTCAGCAAGGGAGGAAACACAATACAGAATCTGTTGCACAAAAGAAAAAAAAAAATCTGCAATTCCTCCATTATTCTGAGAATCTTTTTGCTAAATTTATCTCTTGTTCTTTTCTGAATATAGCCTTAATTAATTCAAGCATCCAATATCCAGTATCTATTCTACTAATGAGAAATAGGTGAAATACCTTTAAAAAAATGAGAGGCAATGGGACACATGTACTAACAACTAACTCTATCTAGCAGATTGTTGAGAAGAGCGTTTTGTAACAGATATTTAGGACCAGCCCAGGATGAGGCCTTGCTTGAACTCAGACTGACACACTGAAGTCAAGGAGCTACGGATAGGTAGGACTGTGAGACTGATAAAGGAACTATGTGTTTCTGTCTGTCATCTTTTCCCTTAGAAAACAAGTAAGCTACCTCATAAAAAGAGGCTGGATTCAGCTCCAGGTTAACAATCATTGCAGTCAATGGACCCCATGGATCCCATCAACAGGGATCTGGCTGACCAGCCACTAGACGTCTACCTCAGAGAGAGCTGAATCATTTGCTTCTATTGAGTAGATCTCCACTGGTTAGAAATCTAGTCCATATGAAGTACTTCAAGTGGATAATTAAATTTACCCTAGTCTCTTCCTGAATTCCATCCTGTTTTATCATCCTGAAGTAAAAGGTGGAATGACCTTTACTGTCTGTTCTATAGTCTTTTTGCTCTCATATTTTATTGTTCTAGACCAAAAATGTAAATTAATTTTTACTAGTAGATGTAAATTACATGACCTATGCCACAAATATAACAGACTAGGAGGAAATAAGTAAGAATTGCTACTCTAAAATTTCAATATGGGCCCAAAAGACTTAAGTGGGAATATTTGAGAGTCACCATTAATGAAAGTGAGAAGGGAACAAATGAAATAGAACAAGTCCATACTTGTTGATAAACTGAATATATGTATTCTACAGGATCTACAAAATGTGAGGGTTGTGACACCCCAGAAAAGCTCCACAGAATAGAGATATGGAGGATCAGAGGCTTTCAAAGACAGACTAAACAAGATGAAGACTCTATGGATTCAAACAGGCATGCCAGGAGATATGACTCAAGCCTACAAAGTCATAAGTGATATGGAGATGAATAAAGTCATGATTAACCGCTCCTTTCATAGCGTATACTATAAGGCACATAGTGACTTTATACATTTAAGCAGGCTTAAAAAAACAAAGAAAACAAGTGCTTCAAAGGTTATATAATTACTTTGTCAGACTCAATGCCATAGGATATTAGGGAGGCTAAAGGCCTAAATAGCTTCAAAAAAGATTAGATGAAGTCTAGGAGGATAAATTCCTCAGTAGTTATTAAACATGACAGCCCAGACACCCTCTCTAGCTGTTAAAATCCTAAAAGCTGAAACGAAGTATCATTAGAGTAATCGATATGCTTGCTCAGGCTTCTGTATTTTGATGTAAGCTGCAAAGAGTCACTGTTGGAGGCAGAATGCTAAACCCGCGGGGCCCTTGGGCTGGTCCAGTCACGTAACGCGCGGAAAGCTTGCTTTCGCAGGAGTAGTGCAGCACCGCTTGACTGGACTTCTAGTACCATGCCCAGTTTAAATTACAGAATCACAAAATGACACAGAATCACAGAATGGTTGAGGTTGGAAGGGATTAATGAGATGGAAGACAAAATTTGGACTGTGTATCTTGCAGAAAAAGAAACAAACATTCATTAATGTAATTAAGTAAAACGCAGCAAGTTCTACCTGAAAATCAAGACACACTTTTTGTAGTGAGAGTGACTGAGCACTGGCACAGGTTGCCCAGGGAGGTGGTGGAGTCTCCATCCTCAGAGATACTCAAAAGTCATCTGAACACAGTCCTGGGCAACTGGCTTTAGGTGGCCCTGATTGAGCCGGGAGGTTGGACCAGCTCACCTCTAGCGGTCCCTTCCAGCATCAACCATTCTGCTATGCTGTGATTCTTTGAATCTGTGAGGGCAAAAGAGTATTGGTCTTTCTTCCTTTGAGAGCCACTCCGGCAGAAAGTGTCACTAGAAGGCCTGCGGTAAGTGGTTTTATGCAGTGTAGGTGTTATATAAAAATTCCAGTTTCAGATTTCTTCTCTCTTCCAGTTAGCAGCTCTTGGAAGGAGGAGTATGAGACAGAGTTTTTTCTAACTGATTGTAAGCACTGGACTAAGTGCTTGTAAGCACTTTGACCTTTCAAGACTGAGAAGAAATATATTCCTAACCATCAGTCCACCCATTTTCTCCATAGCTGTTCAAAGATGCAAATGTATTGTAAGTCTGAGAATCAGTACGAAACTTCTTTTCATTCATAATATGATATGAATATTCAGAAGTAGTGTGATGCCCAACAGGGACCCAACAGGTCCCCTCCTAACTGTGATCCAGAACAATATTGAGGGAGAGCACCTTCTCTGAGAAGGAGGAAGGATGTGTTGGGCTCTTTGTATCTGTCACAATGACACATAAATCCACCTTCCTGGTAATGTTTATGGACAGGCAGCGACAGAGCAGAAATGGAGTAGAATGGAAGGGAAGAAGCTCTCTGCTAGGTGGAAGTGATTATGAAATCGTCATCTAGATAGTAACAGTTATTTCCAGGTGAAGTTAATTTGTGATTTTATCAATTACTTCACCATCCCTCTACAACTGGGACAAAAGTAATCAATTTTTCTTTTAAATTTCACAGAGCAGGATTAATTCAGTTTGAAGCCAGCTACTGATCTTTCAGTGAATTAATTTATTTCACTATTTCTTTTAATTCTATTATCCTTAACAGGTGGAAAAATTGAACATTTAAGTAATACACACAGTCCCCGTGTAGTGGAGAAATGCATGCATGATACACAAATTTGAAAATGAAATCTTTTGTATCAACGCCTGAAAATCACTGCTATTGTAGCAAGGCAGTATAAACACACAATCTTCAACAGATGGATGTGTAATTTATAAAGCTGTATCAGCTCTCTATCTATACATACACACTCACATATATTTATTATCAAGACTAGAGGGAAATGGTGAACTGCAAAATTATTATTCTATAGAATGGCTCCGTAGTGACACAAACCAGGGTAAGAGCTAAAAACTACCAAGATCATTCAATGGAATTGCAGCCTAATTAATATTTTGCCTCTTTTCTATTATATAAAAGATGGCAAAGAAATCATCTTCATTGTCAAATGATTTCTAAAATGTTTGTTTTAAAAAATACTAAAGACTGATAGTACAGCCTGCATCTCAAGATGGCTTGGTGTGCACCTTCTCATCCTTGTCAATATTTACAATGAAGCGCTTGCAAAATCTTTTATTCAGCAACCTTGATGTCATTCTTGTGACTACAGAGAACTAAAGTCTTCCTGTGAGTTTTGCACTTTTGCTCATAGCAAATATTTTCCCAGTTAACACAGTGAAAATAGTAAAGACACAACATTTAACCATTAACTGCCTGTCTGAAAGTCATATTAATGTTTAGCCAATTGCTAGTCCATACATTTATACTTTTCAAATAAAATCGTGCAAAACATTTTTTTTTTGTTAGCTAACTAGAAGTAATAGTAGAGGCAAGGTAATCTCAGTTGCTGAATGGTTAGAACATTGAGACAATGGCTAGAACATTGTCTAGAAATCATCTAGAAAACACTGTCTAGAAAACAGAAATTCTAGAAATTGTCTAGAAAACAAATGACCAGAAAACAATGGCTAGAAATTGAGCTTTTACTGCCCAACTACATTTGTAGCCTCCAGTGCCTGCTAGACACATTACTTCAGAGAAGCCTCTTTGTCCCTTCTCAGATTCGTTTTCTCTCCTTTCAAAGAACAACCATAACTGCAGATTCTTATGGGATGGATGTTCAAGGTAAAACATTTAGAATGAAAGAAATAGTTACAGATATTATACGCACAGACAAGGCATCACATTTATGTAATTTATGTAATTTATGTAATTTATGTAATAACTATTGACAATAATGCAATATTTACAAAATATTTATCCCTTCTTCAGGAAGCATTCTATTAGGCTAGTCTGCCTGCCTGAACTCTGATCACCTAGGAAATTACAACTTCCTAAGAACATCGGAGTGGATAAAAATAACAGCCTATTTCAATACAGGATTAGAAAAAAAGGGAACAAAGGTCAGGACCTACTGAAGGAAGAAGTAAACAGAGTAGTGAGGGGATGACTTCTGGTATCATTTGGCATGCAAACAAATGGTGGACATGCAAAACAAATTTCTGAATATCAATGACTAGCCATCATAAAGCATGTAATACTGTTATAGTAATCATGATTTGTAACCATGATCCTAATGGTCTTCTGTTTCAAACACAATATTAAATATCTATGAAATATTATTCTTACTTAGTACTACTTCTCTAATAAAATTAGCATTTCAAATGCAAAATATTATAAACACTCTGTATATCGAAGTTGAACAGTTTCGATTATGAATTTAAATTTTTTGAAGGAATCAGCAGAGAGGCGACAGGAGTCCCTAAAGAAGAAAAATCAGTGGCAAACAGTGGTTTGTATTAGTAAAAACAATTTCTAATATGACCACTAGGTGGAAATATTGTACTTACAGTTGGCGATGTGGCTGCTGACAGCAATGGTAAAATTCCTCCACAAGCAATAATAATATTGTCTACCATCTGGGAAATGAGGTGTATTGTGTTGTGTACAAAAATAATATTTTCATTGCTATTGACAAAGTCCATCACAGACTTTGTGGAGTGACTGCAAGAACAGAAGAAAGGATGGATTAAAACCAAGCAGTTAAAATGAAAGTTTAGATAAGTTTATTCTTTGCAACCAGACCGTGAATGTCTCTTCGATATAAAGGCAAAATCTTGTCTACAAAACCTTGCATGTAAATTGTCTAAAAATATGAACGGGACTAGTCTAATGAATAAAATGATTGTTATCTATTTTCACACCAGGATTAGTTTCAGATGCCCGGTTGAGAACAATGGCTCATAACCTTTTATTCCCAACAACCAGTACTTCACTTCACAGGCAGTTCTGCTGAAAGCAGTGGGGTTGTTTCTTCAGCGTAAAAGTTGTTGTTTAATATTAAGAGTTCACCATACTGCACCAGTGCTGTTTGAAGCACCCCTGATAACATGTAGTGGTAACACCTGCTAGTGTTTTAAAGGAGAAACTTGATAATATGGTGATACCTTAATCTAATATAAGCTTTATTAACTAATATTAAATTTAGCATTAGCAACAGCTTTGCAAGCCATAGATTAGCTGAAATCCCAGCAACTCCTAATTGGTAAGAAATTGTCCCATGAAACAGTCACTCCCCCAAAGTATAAAACACTGTGTAAAAATATTGAGGAATAGTCATTCTGTATGTTCTTTTTCCAAAACAACATTGTTGCCAGCCAGCAAACAAAAATTAAATTCTTCAATTGAAAATATACAAACGGAACATTAACCTCCAAGCATTACCTAAACACAAAGTACAAACCCACATATTTGTCCAAAATAAATAATCAAAATTGTCCATTTCCTAGTGACTATCACAGAACAGTTCACCAAACTGGAAATTAAATGCGATATAAATTGGTCCTTGTATGTAACTAACCTCAAGTTTTCTGAAAATGAACTATTCTGTCCTGGAAATTAAATTAAATGTCTCATGCCTAAGGGCTCTGATAACAGTAAGTTATTGAGTATCTCTGTTAAAGTGTACAAAAAATCCAGGAAATCACATTGCTGTCATAAAATATAACATAACCACCAAGACTAACCACAACCAGAAACTGGCATGCAAAAAAAAATTTGTCAACTAGAAAGAGTGATTCTTTAGAAAATGTTGTAGGAAAGAGTTTTTATTTATTTGGCTTGCAGATAGAAAAGCTCTCTTTTAGTTGATCAGTTGAAAAAAATGACACAAGTCCTCCTCAGGTCTGAAATAGAAGCAGCAGGTTCTAACACTAACATAAGCTGATAGAGCAGCTCGGTTTAGTTAGGTATGTATGAGTTACACAATCTCTCAAGAAAACAGAAATTGTTACCTGTGAAATAGAGCTGTTACAGGCTGGGAAGGGGTGAAAAGAGAAGACATAAGATACAGAAGAGCACTTCAGCTAACACCAGCTCTTTCCCTTCCCACTAGCCCAGCTTTCCCTTCCCACTATCCCAGTAACATCCCGTCTACAACACATCTAGTTTTTCCTTGTTGATTGAAACACAAAACAGGAGTTAAAGAAGAAACAACCACCTACCTTCTCCAAACATGTACATCTGTTTCTAGTGCAAAAAGCAAGTCTGTCAGGAGCCTCTGGTGCATGGGAGACCATTTAAACTCCGGAATACGAAACATAGTTGTGCGTGGGCCTGGACTAAACTGTCGTCGCTGCTCTTCTGTCATTGGCATTCCTCGAAATCCCAAGTCAACACGTAAATCCCGGTCTTGCTGGGTGACAGATCGACCCTGTACAGCCTACATCAACAAGAAATTCAAAAATCGTATTACCTTTTGTAATGTGTTTTTGAATAGGTCACAGAATTTGAGAAAGGATGGGCTAAAACTGGACTTGAGCATAAACTGCAGGAGATACTGATATTCCAAGGCAGGCAGCATCCTTCCAGTAAAGGAGCTGCTCCAATTCAAATCAATCAGCACTGAGGGGCTACGGCTGGCCTTCCTTTCAGCTGTTCACCAATGTTTTACACTTAGGTTCTTCACTTGAAGTATTACAGGAAAAAACAAATGCAGCATGTGCAACGTCAGCAGTGACAAGGCTTTGCTTATAGGGAACAACCATTCTTTTGTGCTGATAACACAATATTCTTCGAATATTTCACTCAAAACATGGACAAACTACACAGTGATGGCTTCAAGGAATCAGCGTAGTTTTAGACAGCTCTTCATTTTCCAAACTGATTTATTTATCTGGTCTTTTTAGCAGGAGCATTAGAGAATCAAGTCTAGTCTCGCAAATCGCATCCTGCCAATTTTGTTACACTTTGTTAATTGGTTAACAGTTTGATGGATCCTCAGGACATTTTTTAGATTCTTCCAGAGGCGGTGGATGTGAACTTCATTCCCTTTCAACACCTACACAGTCATGACTGTTTCCACTTCGGAATTAAAGACAAAAGTTAAAGATACACGGAGAAGATATTACGGAGAATACCATCAAGGAAAAAGTAGTAAAGAACAAACATTTTGACTGAATTTGAGGCAAATATTCATAAAAACAAAATTACTTATAATATGCAACATCTCTGAAAGGAAGAAATAGACAGTCTAATCCTTGAAAGTATTTTAGAGTGAGTTTAGATTATCTTAAAACTGGCAAAATAGAAAATATACTTGCTTTGCTCACATATTCATTTCCTGATCTCAGCACACTGTTTTAAATCTGGACACTTAAAAGCAAAAAGACATTTATGAAATATTAGTGCTAGCAATGTAAGAATGGACATGGCATTGGAGTTGAGCTGGAAAACTTCTTAGATCTTTAGTCTGACTGATTTTCTGTCGCCAGCATTTTGAGAACAGGGTAGGTTTCCTTCATTTAATTTGACCTATAGGGATCAAAATTGTTACTGTTGCTTTAATTTCCTATGTTTTTCTTAAAGTTATCTTTAAATTATTCTTTTCTTCTTAGACTATCTAAGATTTGAATTTTTTTTATGAATCTTCTGCATAGTGTTTTCAAAACTATTTTCAGTCTTTCCTAATTTGGACCATAGGAAAGAGTTAATTTTATATTCTCAATATTTGATCTACTATTGATAAAGGCATTAACTCTTCTTAGAAGCAGGAGTTTCCCATCTCTACTTTGCTGTGCAATTTGTTGCTTTCTTTCAGTCCTTTTGAAGAAGACAGCCTACTTCTTACTGACAAGGTAGGGGAGTTTATTTTAGATTTGTTTTTAGAGCATTTGTCGTTAGCAACTCCATTCACATACCACTTGTTCTCTTTTGGCTACAACTACAGGCAGTTGTTATGTCAGCAGCAGTAATGGTATTGTAACTGTACCATAACAGGAGAGCTTTTATCTAGGCAATAATACTGTATTTATGAGAATTTTGATGGGCATTGCAGAAACCACCATGAAACCCAACTATCTACACTTGGGTGGCCAGTGTTCAAGTCATTGTCAGTGTTTTCAGTGGTCTCAAAGAGATCAAATCTAATGTGGCAGTTCCCACGCATGCTGCAATCACAACTCCAGCCTCCCGCTCCACTGTACGCATGTTAAAATTAACAATGCTCTTTACTCATTAAAAAAAATGCTTGATTTATGTTTATTTAATACATATTTCCATCTTTTTTTATTAAGGTTAACATCATTTAAACAGAAAAGATGTAACTATGGACAGCTTACAGTTCACAGGGTATTTTGAAACACCCAAAGAAGAGATTAGGAGATAACAATTCAGGTGGTTATACAGTTGATAATTTTTTTTAAGAAAATTATTTTAAAAAGATATTAATGGCTACATTAGTCAACTCACTGTAGTTTATCATTGATTTTAGTGGGAAATAACTGAAATTTAAGTAGTATATGGAGAGTCAAGAGAGTTAACTAACTTGTAGAGTCACACTCGTGAAGAGTACACAGTTTGTGGATAATTTGCACATCCAAATGATACGTTAGGAATTTTGTGAGTAGCTAGGAGTAAAACATTTGGAAAACATTTTGTTTCTCCTATCTTACAATAATCTGATAAAAGTTCATTAACATTTATGTATAATTTTAATCCTAACAAATAATTATAGGCTTGAGCAATTTACATTTTTATAATTCAACTGTTATAGGTGAAATTCATCAAGAAAAAAAGATTAAAGAACAGAAAAGTCCCAAAGTCACACTGAAAGGATTTTCTACAGTAGCTAGTACAAGGTCAGGTTATCTTTTTCATTAAAGATTTATCGTACAAATTTACTGTGCTATGGCTGCGTATAGGTACATAGCAAATGAATACTAGCATTTTACTTGTCTTTTACTCTTTACACAAAAATCCACATTTCAAAATAAAAACTGACTGCTCCTTTTTCATGCTATCCTCCATTCATTCCATTTATCCATGGTATTAACAGTCTTAAAATTAAGACTTAACATAAGGAACTGATAGTAATAGATACACTATTCCTATTGAGAGCTTTCAGGGCTTCTTCTTTATTACACAGAATGCTTTTAAATCCTACATAATGCTTGAAAATCTGTCACTGATGTTATGAGGATTTTCAAAGTTTTGAAAAAATACTTACAAGAGAACCTCAAACTTTTATTATAATACCTGTCTAGGGAATGTAAGAGCTCCATCTGCTTTTCTCTTCAAAACGGAGAAAACATAGAAGAGAGACTTAGAAGAGAGTGTTCTTTCTGTATGTCAGAGACCACTGGTCTGAGTAACCATTTAAAAAAAAATAATTTAAAAGGGAAAGTACCAGTTTTGGAAACCATAAATTGTTTAAATAAATTAAAATGTCCATTCACTGGAGTTTTTCTGAAAGTATTGTCTCCCTCAAGAACAAAGCAAGCAGACTGATCTGTTTTGTTTCATCGGATGACATGTACTTTGAGCGTAGTTGAGTGTATCTCCGAAACTTGTTCTTCTGACAATTTGGTACACACTACACAGTACTGGGCAGAGCAATTTTTGCAATTTTTATTTAGCTCTTCTTCCATAGTTTCAGGAAGTCTGCTTGGCTTTAAAATCCTAGAAGATAAATACCACTCTACATACTGGCCATGCAGTCAGGTAGTAAAATCTTGAAGGTAGTCAATTCTGTCACCTGACAACATCCTTAAAAGCCGCCTTTGATTACATTCTACAGTCTCTGAACAAAGCCAGTGAAGAAATTAATTCTGTGCTTTAAAGCTTCAAAGTGATCCTATATCTTGCTGTGTATGTAGAGTACAAATTATTTCAAAGAGTAGCCTTCTGCCTTGGCCTTCCCATTTTCAGAATGCTACAGCTCTCACAAAAACACTAATTTCTCAGAATTTTTCAGAAGAAGTCCTAGACAAGAAAGGATCTCCATGAAGAAAGTACATACTTCTTTTATTAATAATCTCTGATCTGGAAATCAAGTCACAGTTTTTCTTCTATTATCCCTAAACTATTATTTTCTTGGGTTAAGATCAAATATGGAGATTATTTATGCCAGTATTCCTGTACAGGAGGAAAGACAGTGTGTATTTCATAGTAGAATATAGATATTTCTAATCTTAAAACACACTAACAAGAAAGTCTAAAGCAGAATTCTAAGAGTATCAGTTAATCTGTCCAGAAGAGCTAAGGAAAATGGCTGAGAGTTTCTCTTAGGTAAGTTTTTTTTAAACTAAAGCATCCACAGTTGCAATACATATTTTCTATACAGACATGGAAGACTTCACAATCCTTGGACGTTACGGCATTTTCAAAGCAAATAGGCTTAGAGGATGGACACCTTTCATATAATTAAAGAAATATACTTCAAACATGTCTCAGATCTCATACCATTAACTTATCCAGCAGCAACAAACAACGATTACATCAGAGGCATACATGGCTACAGCACTTGAAACCTACCTGGGTTGTGGTAGTTGTCTGGATCTTCCGTATCTCCTTTCCTGCTTCCTTACCATCATCAGATCTTTCTGTATCTGATATTATACTTCCTGCATCAACACTAGGTACAGTTTTGCTACCAGAAGACTCTGTCTCAAGAGTTGTGGCAGTCATTTCAGCATATTCTAATCCTTTAGACGATGGTGCCAACTCCCTCTCAGAAATGCTACTCATTCCATCTGAAGTTGTGTGAATCTTGAACTCCTTGTCCTCTATTATGCTTGAAGCACATGTTATATCTACATTACCTGTCATATGTGCAAGCAATCCCAAATCATCATTTACACCAAGGTGCATCTGTGTCTCTTGCACATTTGGAATAGAAATGTGATTACTTGAAAGTTCAGGTAGAAGTTTCTCCTCTTGACTAGGTATTTTATCAAAAAGAAATGAGGTATTGTTAGTAGAAGGTTCATCTTTCTCATCAGCCAGAGTTATTAATGGACCATTATCTTTTTCCTCATTCTTCTTAATAATACCCACACTTCCATGAACATTGTTTTGGAGCTTCTCAACAGCAGCGCTATATACATTATCTAGAAGAGATTCAACTTCTACAAGCGCACCATTTTCTCCAGTTACCAGTGTCTCTGGTGATAAATCCATATCATCAAGTTTTACTTCAGTAGCTTCTACCTTTTCAGCTTTTATATCAACTAAAAGGTCATGAACTTCCACATGCACTCCTCCTCCTGGTCTCTCAGCACTTCCAAGCACATCATCTGACACCTTTGTAGCCATGAGCAAGTCCCTCGTATCTGTACTGACAGGGTAATCCGTTTCACTTTCTGGACTTTGGCTTTGTGAAAGGTCTTCTATCTCTCGAATTTCCATTCCACCTTTTGCTCCTGTTGTCTGAGAGGAAAGACCTGAGATGGTGCTTACATTCCCCTTCTTCCCTTTTTTTATGTTTTCTTCTTCTTGCCTTTGATACTCTTCATACATTTTTGCTAGATACTCCTTGTGAGCCTCATATGTGACCTTAAAGAGAAAAGAACAGATTATGTGGATGAATATATGCTATATGAACTTGGACAAAAACTAACAAGAATCTTAACACCACAGTACATACAGCTTACAAGTTGTTTCGTAGCAAAGGACCTAAAAGGATGACAAAAAATTGCCACCTTGACATGTACGGAGACAGCCACCAGATGGCACTAAATCACTTTACATCTTCTATTACTATGTTGCGAGTCCCTTTGGAGGATTTACCAGTATTAAAACAACATCCACGAGCCATTTCTTACCTTGGAATGGGCTATAGAAAGAGTATCCACCCATACTCTCCAGCCTCCCCATTCATATTTTATTGCATGATACAAGAGAATACGGAAAATGTTGTAAACCATCTCTGTGATCTTCTGCTCTTCAGAGTTCTTCGGGTTAATGTATCCCAGAGAAAACATCCAGTCCTGCCACACTGAACACTGAAGTAAACATCTAAAGTGAAATAATTAGGTCAAAATATATCCAAACAAAGCTTCTTTATTTTAACATTATGATAGTTAAAATAGGAGGAAAATAATATGGTACATCTCCTCTGAACATCAATCCAATGGTAGGAAGAAACTTAAAGATACTTCAGGATGAAAAATATCTAAAGTATATTCTAAAAAAAAGAACCCAGTATTAGTTGCTGAACTAATAAAAGTCACCCCAGACTTATTCCATTTATTTTTTATATATTCCATTTAATATACAGTGTAAAATTCTACAGAGAGTACAACAGATTGCTATTACCTACAAGTCAAGGATGAGAAAATACTATTTGTAGTGACATACCTTCTGTTTTCACGGCTATTACTAAAGAGTTTTATCATATCAGATAAGAACAAACGTCGAACTTCCATCAGCTCTGCACTTGGCGTGGAGTTTTTTAACAGTGTTGCCACCACCTTAAGAATCACTTTGAAAGAATAAATTAGTTACGTAACACATTTTAACATTAAAAAAAAAAGTTGAATTGTTGACAGCGACTAATATAAGTAGTAACTGAAACCCGTATGTATTTGAGACACACTAATAAATTGATCTCGCTTCCTGAACCATAATTCTTTCCAAACACCCCCACAACCTCTAGACAAAACATTTATCATACAAACATAAAATATTGTCCTTACTTGGATTCTGAATTTTCACTGTGGAATCTGGTTCTGGATGCGGTTTATGAACAACTTGAGTGCAGACTTGTTCTGTCAAAATCTAAAATAGAATATTAAGTTCCTTTTACCATTTTTAATTAAACTCTACAGAATTTCTTTGTTCATTTTTAAATTTGTAAAGAACATTTATGACGGCTACACTGTAACTTCATATATAACATTTTGGTAAAATATTTTTATTCTTGAAGAATGGAAATGAACAATTCCTCTATGCAAGGATAAAGACTTTCAGTGGTTGGTTAACTAACTTTTTAGTTAGCTGACTAAATACACAATAATGGTGTTTTAAAGATATTTCATTCATATTCCTCATAGTGTTATACATTCACAGATCAAAAATTCTTTCATGAGCATTGTACATCAAAAGCTATTCTCATGCATTCCATACATAAACAAACCCAAGTATTTCTTAAAATTGGGTTTGGTTTTCCCCCACTGGGGAAGAGGAACAGTCACAGACAACATTCCATAGGAATAATCCTGGGGCTTCACATAATGAGCAAGACAGATCATTCTCCTGTTTCATGAACTGTACCTGACAAACTAATTAATTAGATAGCTGTCACAGGTTCTGTGTATGCTAATTTATTTTTAAGAACAAGCTAAAAATTTAACAATATTAACGCGGGATTCTCAGTAAGTATATTCAGGCACATGTATTTCAAAATAGAATAAATTCACTAGTAATTCTTATTTATTTTAAAGCAGAACTTTAGCTCATTCATTAATCGATAATCAATAATCAATACTCAAACTAATGTCAGCTGTAAACACAATATCTTTGAATGGGTCTTTACATATTGGTTTTTAAAATAGAATGCAAATATGCCTTTGCTTTTTATGAGAGAACATGGAAAATATCAGTTCCTTAGAAAATCTTTTGTACTTCTGGCACTTAACTCCTTTTTCTCCTCCTCTGGCTATTTCTGCTGGTTTTGGCTGGGATAGAGTTAATTTTCTCCATAGAAGCTAGCATGAGGTTGTGTTTTGGATTTGGGGTGAAAACAATGTTGATAACGTACTGGTGCTTCCAGTTGTTCCTAAGCAGTCAAGGACTGTTCAGTTGCTGGCCGGCCAGTGAGTGGGCTGGGGGTGCCCGGGGAGCTGGGAGGGGACACGGCTGGGACAGCTGACCCAAACTGGCCACAGGGATATTCCATACCATACAGCGTCATGCTCAGGATATAAAGCTGGGGGGAAGAAGGAAGGGGGGGACGTTCAGAGTGGTGGTGTCTGTCTTCCCAAGTAACCGTTACACGTGATGGAGCCCTGCTGCCCTGGAGATGGTTGAACAACTGCCTGACGATGGGGAGTGGTGAATGAATTCCTTGTTTTGCTTTGCTTGCGTGCGCGGCTTTTGCATGAACTATTAAAATGTCTTTATCTGAGCAACCTGCTGTAGTTGAAGATGTCCCTGCTCATTGCAGGGAGGTTGGACTAGATGACCTTAAAAGGTCCCTTCCAACCCAAACTATTCTATTCTATGATTCTATGGTTCTGTGGTCTTAAATAGCAGGATCTGTTCCATCACCATAAGTGAAAAGTCTTACAGAGACTAAATAAAAATTATGACATTGTTAGTAAAAGTATCCAAAACATGAAAAAGTACATTCTGAACGAAGAAATCCATTCTTAAATTTCTTTCTAAAATTTTCTGAAAAGTCTTGATAATAAGGATATTGTAAAGCACAGAGTGACAATATAATTAAGTCGTAATTTTTATAATAGGGAAGACAAACTCTATGTTTAACTGTACCTCATAAAGTGTGTTATATGTTGTAACGGTCACCGTATTTGTATGCAGCATCAACCTTTCTCCAAGAAGTGTGAAAAGACTGTGAGTATGCATGATTTCAACCTTTCGCCTGGAAGAGAAAATAAAAATATTAGGAAAATGCCAAGCACGTTGAACATTTTAAGTAAATACAAAAAACCCAGAAGACATATATTTGATGTTGCATGAAAAAGTTCTAAAACTTGTTATTCTGTAAATATTAAGAATGAAACATCATTTAAGACTATTTCCAATATGAATACAATTGTAGCAATACACAAAAGTTCTCATATATTACAATGCAAAGGAAATAAAATTCTGAAAGTTCTGAAAGTCCTAGTGATTGAAGTGAGTTTTATAACTAGGATCAAAAACTACTCAAATCTTAAAAAGTGGAGAAGAAAACAGCCCACATCAGTGAATTCCATCTGTCCCAAAACACTACTCTTTTAAAATTAGATATTACTTCATAATTAAACAGAATACTTCCTGTAAATTGCATTATTAAATTTATCTACTACTGTAACAAATAAGAAATAAAAGTCATTATTCAAAATAATAGCCTATATTAAAGCAGCAGAAAAATATGAAATAAGATAACATACAGTAAATTTTCTGTAAAATTTTATGCATTCAAAAGCTAAGAAACTCCCTTTTCATGTTTCCTGGTGCTGATAACACAGGTTTAAAGTACATAGATTCATTCTAGAACTTTTGAAATTAACACATTATATTATAATTTTCAAATAACCACAGAAGAGAGTGGCAACAACTTATAACAGTATGCACTCTTCTGTGCACAGAACAGAGTTCAGGAGTCACTTAGGAGAAGAAGTACACGTATTCAACCTTGTGAGCTATGATGCAGCACATGGAAGTGAAAACTCATTGGAAGGTTTAAATGTGCAGATAAAAACCAAAAGTAAGTAACGGACTATGATTTCAGTGGTGGCACAGAAAGAATCAAAGATGGAAGAGAGGGCAAAGAACAGGATTTTGCCAACTGTTAAGGTTAGACAAAGTAGTCTATCATCACAGATCACAAAGAAAAATCAATTTAGTTATTCAGGCTCTCATCTAACACATTACTGGTCACTTTTCCTAAGAATCAATTGCCTCCACTCAACAGCATAATCTGCAGTAAATATATATATGAACTTCAGCAATGGTAACTGGTTTTGTACCTACACATTTGTTATTAATATTGTATTGGTTCAGATTTCATAAATCGCATTATAACATCTCCTTATGCAACTCTGCTTTAGTGTAGTGAACACAATGTCTGTTTCCTGTATTGTGAAACAGAATTTTAAGTGCTTTATAATTTTATAATCGCTTAGCATTTCCTGTAGTTGACTACAGTTTTATAAAATCGTGTATATGCACACATACGTATGTACACAAATAGGCACAATTTGTGTTAGCGCTAGCTGTAAGGGATGAAAATGGGGGGGCATTTTTACTTGCTGAAATCTACATAAAATGTGAACATTTACAGATGTTCAGAGGTCTGAAAAAAACCTTTGAAAGTCACACAGAATATTCAAGTGGATTTCAATGACTTCAATTACATGAAAAATAAAGTTATTTAATTTTGTGCTAAGCACTTGCTTTCACTCAACAATGGAAACTACACTGATACATCCATAATTACAAGTGGATGCTAAGGACCGGGAAATGAAATTTCAGCTTCTGAAAAATCTCACTTTTCTTTTTCTGTAATGTTCCATTGACAGAGTTTACTACTTAATTTACTGGATAAGATAAATATTTTAAACAAATTATTTATTTGGACACAATCAGGCTTCTGCACAAGTCAAACCTTCATCTGGTGTATCTTAATGCAACTCCTATCAATGTGAACGATTTTTAATAAGTAATGTTTGAAAAGCCCTTGGAGATTCTTGAGTGGACTATCAATTTGCTTCATTAATTCCCCGACCACTATTTGGCTTGCAGCATCTCAAAAGAAAAATCCCATTTGGGAGCATATTCTCAGCTAACTGTCTCTCAATTATACAGTCATACTTTATTGATCTTACCGAGAAAAGCATGTCTAGCAGTACCGCACACCGGCTGGACCCCTACCTCCTCTCCCTTCCAAGGAGGATTTAGATGATGAAGTCTCTCATGAAGCACACAGTTAATTTTTATACTGCAGTCTCCCACTGGAATATTGTTGTGGGTTAACCCTGACAGACAGTTAAGCACCACACGTAGAAGGGGGAAAGTGAGCAGCAGGAGATTACGCAGCACTGTATGCTTTTTAATTCTTTCTTAACACTGAAATATGGAAGATGAGACTAAGTACATCTATTTCGTGACACCTATTCTTCTCAAATGTGAATATTTCTTGCTGCCACATTGTATACATTAATATTTCTTGCACAGAGGTGTGTCCTCACCTCCTTTTTTATGATCATTTACTTAGTCTATTTGCTTTTCCTTCTGAAACTTTCCCATGTGAATAAGATATTCTTCTATTTAATTTTTCCCACAATTTTAAAGTTATTTTTAAAAGTACTGCCCTGAAACTTTTATTGCAATGACACTGAAAATTTTTCATTATCCTTAGCTGAACATACAATATACATATAAAAAATGTATTTTTGGAAAATGTTATTCAATTGTTTTAAGACTTGGATTTCAGCATATTTGGCAGACAATCGCTGTATGTTTTCAAATGTCAGAACAAGTTAACCGGAAAATTAATTTTATCCCGATGTATAAAGGTGCAAATTATTAATCAGAAAACCTAATGATTTTAAGTAATCTCTAAAGACTGTCAAAGAACACAAGGTAATCATGACAAAAAGACAAGAAGAATTTGGAACTTAAATACATCACTATAACAATTTTAAAAGTACACTTACTTATGACCCAAGTGTTTAAGAAAATAGCCAAGGACCTTCAAAGCTTGCACCCATATACTCTCACTTTTGGAAGCCAATAATTTATAAATTACTCTAAAAAAGAAAAACAAATTCAACAGTTTTTTCAGTTTATTAGTGAACATCACATATATAGATTGTATTTCTCTGAACAGGGATACTTCTTAATAAAACTATGAAAATAACAATTTACACAAAATGGAAGGTTACACTGAAAGCACCAAGCACAGCGTAAGACTTTGATTATGAATTCTTTAGGTTAGAGACATGGTGTCTTTTGGTTCAGTTCAAGATTTCATAACTGAAAGCAACAACCTTGTCTCATACTTCTACCTAGGAACAATCAAATAAATGACAGTCTGAGCTGTTATAGCTTAAGACAAGAGAAGCAGACTGGAGCACGTAAGGTCACATCCTAGAGTTTTCTGGAGTACCTGGATGTTACTAAAAATCTTGTTTCAGTCTTAAAAACCCTACTCAATATTCTTTCTACACAGGATAGGGTACCTGCATTTTATCACAGGATGTTCATACTGAAATCTCATTTGTCAAAAGTGAAATGTGGCAATATAGTACACAAAATCCCATATACACCTATGAAGGTGCATCCTCACTGCATCAAAATTTGAAGTAGAAAAAAAAATAATACATCCCATGTTTTTAAATCCTCTATAAAAAAAGGCCTAAAAATTTAACTAATTTAATTTATTACTTATTTAATGAATATGATTGGTTTAAGCACAAATTCTACATTCTTTCAGAAAGGAAACCACTCTTGATTTGAAGACATCAAGAGACAGAAAACTGTCTTCAACAAGAACAGAAGACTGTTCTTCAACAAATTTTTAAATTTATATTTTAGTTTCCCATTTAAATTAGCTGAGTTCCAGCTTTTAGCCATTCTTTTCAGTCTTTTTCTAATAAAGAGAACTTTAGGAGATGGTATCTTCTTTTGAAAGGACTTATGCCATTATCGAATGACCTCTGAGGCTTTTGTCCCCTGATAACCTAAGGAGATGAACCCTTAATTCAATGTAAGGCATGTTTTTTGAACACTTAAATGTTGCAATTCTGTGCATGGTCTCGACTTTTCCAACACAGACTTTTAAACACAGATACTGCACCACCAAACAGTTTTAATATTGGTACCACAAATGTTACATAAAGTTGTGTTAAATCCTCAGTCTTACCCGTCTTTGAAAGGTGTCAAGAATAGAATTCTGTCTGAATACAGACAACTATAGGCAGAAAACAATGTCCTAACTGTAAGCACGAGTCTTCCCTTCAACTAGCATTGTCATTCAAACAGTTTTAAATACAAGTATTTATAAGATACTAGCATTTTGGCAAAACAAAGCTTCAATTTATCAGGTAGTAGATGTTTGGGTTTTTTTACTATCCCCTTGTATTTTTCAAAGTATTTTCAGCACAAAACAAAATTCTATAGTAAATATGAAATTATTAGCATAAAAACCTGCATTACCAAATTAGGCATAAGAAAACAACAAAAATACCACTTCTCTGGGAACTATCAGTTATTAATTTTCTGCCAAACAGATAAACGTATGAATTGCACAGATAGCCTTTTTAACCTTTTCAGAGAGAATTTGAGAGGTTAGGGCACAATGTGTCTTGTTTTCCTCTTCTTCCCTCCAGATTATGTTAAACATCTGAAGACAGAATATTAAAAATTATTCTGGAATAGATACTTGGTGTTTTGATGCATCTTGTTAATTACATATTCTATTTGAGATTGAGAAGCAAGCACAACAGTGCATTTATCTTCAAAAATCATAACAATAACCTTAAGTGGAAATTTTTTTTCCTCCAAGCTATCAAAACCGTTCTGTTTTGGACAAAAAATATAGCCTAAGTTAATAAAAACTGTAATTGGAAAGATCAGCAAGTATGATATTTATGTGAAAAGGAAGCAATCTGGAGAGTGATGATACCGGAGCTAATTTTAAGATATTTTCTCACTTCACTGTCTTACCGTATCCCATTTCTCTGATCAAAGGCAGGTATCATGGATGCTGGATGTTCGGACATTAGTGCCACTAGCAGCTGCAGCACATCATGAATATTTTCATCCTGTATGACAAGCATCAATGTTATTCTACAAACTAACCTCAACAGCAGGCTTCCCATAGAGCTGGTAAAACTGGTTACAGTAAAAGATAGGTAATTACAGAAATGTACCTCATGCATTGTTAGTAAGTAATTTAATATGCTCTGCAGTTCATCTTCTTTCACTCCTCGATCCTAAAAAAAAAAATAAAAAAAAAATGAGGGGATTACTCAGAGAAAATACATTCTTAAGTTTGGCTCAACAAAAACATGGCCAAGTCAAATAATCCTACAATTTAAACTCAAAAGACTGAATTCTCTCTTTCATTTCATTGCTTTTCCTTATCACATTGACAACTCAAACAGCATGAAGTTTCTAGCCCTCTATTCCTGCTAGAAAGGATTCTTATAGTGTGGGCCCTCAGATACTATTAATTATTACTGCCACTCCTCGAAGCCCTGACACAGAACAGAAAAAAACCAGGAGGAATTAGCCAGTCCAGAAAACAGTGGTTTTTAGTCTAGTCTCAAATGATAGATTATACCTCAAAGATTAGCGTTCAGCTGTAACAGAGAGAAAGAGTCCTAGACCATTTCAACCAGTGGTAGAAACAAAAAAAAGGATACAGCCATAACTAACTTAACAACTGCCATTACCTTTTTCATTTGATCAATCAAGCAACTATCTACTATCTTATGAAAAAATCCTAAATAACTGAAAGGTTCTGGAGTGTCACATACTATTTCTGCAACTGCATTTAATAAAATATATATGGCATAGTTTGGTGAGGTTAATAAGAAATATTTTACAGATTTATTACCTTTATGTTGATTAGAAATATGTGCACGAACATTAAAATTAACCAGAAACGGATACAATACCTGACCGGTATTACATATTTACTTGTATGAAAGATCCTATTACATATATATAACAGATCTCAATGTTTTCTATATAGAATAGACTCTTTTACCTTCAATATAAGTTGTTTCAAAAACAGCAGCATAAATGCCCTTAGGGATATGATTTCTTTCTGTGAGGGCCGAGGACCATCTGGAAGAAGCAAAATATACCGCTTTTAAATATAAACTAATTCCTTGAATGACTGCAGCTTCTTAAGGAAATCACAGTTCCTACAACAGATTTAGTATTCTATTAATTATGTAAATGTTCATATTTGCAAATGCTATCATTTATAACCTTTCAGAATCACATTTTACAGCACTAATATACATACGTATAAGTGATGTTTCATTTTGAAAAAAAAGAAATCCATATATATATATATTCTTAAACAAAGACACAGGAAGATGAAAGGTAGTAATCAGGTCTAGACTCACACAACTAAATTAAGATATATGTTCTGTAGGTGTCTTCATATGAGCCAGGAGTTTCAAACCCCAATATAAGCAACTTCCCTCTTTACTGACGACATCTACTCGACTGACCCAATGTCAGTGCGCAGTTCAGGATAAAAATTATGAGTTCTATTGACTACATTGAGTTGCATTCCACTGAAACCAACAGGAGTTTAAACACCTAGTACAAGGCACACTGTGGACATGTAAACTTAAAAGGGTCTGAATACAAAGTTGAATCTCACCTAAAGTACATGATAACAACTTGGAATAACTAAGCCACCATTTTAAATACCATCTGAATGAAATCCAGCAGAGAAAGGATTAATGAAATGTTAGTGGTGGGCATTACCTGTAGCAGAAACTGAATCTATTTTATCAAAGATAAATTACCATCTAAAGAAAATATTAAATTTAAACCAGAAAAAGTGATCCATAATACTTTAAACAATTGTGCTTGAGCAAGTACATTAGGAAAAAAGAAGTAACTAAAAAATTGAATAAGAAACAGAGGTTGAACAGCTATATTGACTTGAACCTTGCTCTATTGTATTTTTCATTATCCCTTTTCATACATAGTTAAGTTTGAACTGGAAATTCCTTTGTTAAGTTCCTACAATGTGTGTCATAGACAGTCCTAAATTTTGCACAGTGAAAATAAATGCAGACTGATTTATTTTTTCATCAACCATTTAATCTTATGCTGATAAACACATATCAAAGCTTAATAACACTCTATGTCTCAGTATTATTTCCAATCCAGATGAATGTAACCTTTTAATGAAGATTTTTTTTTATAGTGTCCAGTGCCACTCTTCGAAGTGAAGCCACTGTTGTACACACAGTAATTCAAGCTTGCAAAAAAGGCAAACCTGAAGGAAAATTATATTTGTTTGACTAGCAGGAACAAAAAGAGTTTTCTTCCCTGTTTAAGAGTGGAGAGAGAAGAACTGGGTACTTTTCAAAAAGAAGCAAATAATTCTCAACCTCCCCTCCCCATCATATGTAAAAACAGTAAGCATATCATTGTAAAAAGTCTATCATATATGCTTTAATAGTTTTATAACCATACATCCTAATGGCACCATTAAACATCTATTTCTCATTATAAAAACAGAAATTGGATTTTTTGGTACTAGTTGTAACTACATTAAATATTGAATGTGTTTTTATGGAAACGGTGTGCTTCTAGCCAATAGCTATTTTTTTCCCTAATTCAAATGCAGATTCAACTCTAACTGCATGACAGAAACCTGTTTCTTTGCACACCCTCTTCCTTCCTACACCTTACTGGGTTCAATATTGGACAATATCTGAAAACCAGGCCTAAAAACTGAGGTATTTTGTCTTTTCTGGAAGACTGTAATTATGGAAACAGAAAACAGAACAATAAGACAACGGAGAGCTCTGCAAAGCATTTCAGTAACAGAAATTTTAAGGAAGGATTAAAAAGAAGATATCCCAAATTAACTGGGCACCTGTTCAAAGATACCTGAATTTCATATTTCTTATTCACATACCCACTAGTTTCTCTAGAGATGTGCGAGAACCCTGAAAAGGGTTCTTCAACACACGGAAGATACAAAAGGAGTTGTTGCTTGCAGGTTATATGCCAAGCAAGTAAAACGATGCTTTTTCCTTCAGTCCTCCAGTACTATTTATTCCGTGTATTTTGGTTGTGTCGAAGATTCACTGCATTAGAATCAGAAAAAGGGGACAGCCTCTGCCCAGAAGACTTTAATAGTTTGAAAAATTAAAAGAGGACTGGTAGAGAAAAATAAGAGAGGCTGGAGAAACTGGAGGCTATGTAACCATTAGGTAGCTACAAATAGTGGAAGAAAGGACTGCAGCAATAGTAATGCAACAGTCCTCTGATACAGATTGAATGAAATTAATCTGGGAAGTTGTAAAGCTACATAAAGTGGATTTGCCACTACAATTGTTATGTCATCACTTTTTGGCTTCATAACTAGTTGAAGAACTTCATTATTAACTGAAGATTTATTTAAAAAAAATGCATCATTGCCCAAACAATGGTATAATTTATGTTATAATTAAAAAATATACTTTATACACGCATATACTGAGGTAAAGAGAGACAAGTGGATCTTGTTTTTCAGCTCAAACATTGAAAAGTAGTTTTCTTTATTGTCTATTAATCTTTGGACCCATCACTGGATGGACAATTCAGTGTCACCATCACTTAGACACTGACTAAACCCAAACCCAATCCAAATCAACAACAGAGATAATCCTTTTACGATCTCATACAGCAACCCTGTAATACAAAAGTATTTGTCCCTCGTACAAAATAGCAAAATTCTTGTTAATTGGCAAAGAGAAAGGATCCCTTATCCCACACGAGGATGAGTCACTAAATAATTTCCTGCTTTTAGATTTTTTTGGTATGTATTTATTGCAGATAGCTCATGATTTGCATCAGATTTTTTTAAAATATACACTCATAATGAGAGTTAGCCAGCTTTATCCAGACAAAAATAAATTAAAAAAAAATTACCCAATTCATCCATGCAGCACAGAGCAATTATAGGTGTATAAACCAGAACTAATTAAGATGGAATAAGTAAACATATTCACAGAACAAAGTACAATCAGTACTGGTGTAAAAAACTCATTGGGAACTTTGAATAGCAAAAATAATGATCTCTAATCCTGTCTTTGGAAATAAAACACTGTGTTATCAGCTCTACAAGCAACCGAACACAACATCCTTCTATCTGTTTTTTTTTTAATGTGTAAAAAGCATGATTTTTCTATTCCTTAAATTAATAAAACACGATACAGAGAGCAGAATCTGATCTCCACACATGCATAAATAACATCATGTTATGCAGATCACAGAAAGACCTACTTTTTATCTTACTGTTGCAAAGATAACGAGAACTGAGTTCCACTCTAACCCAGCCATTGAAATAACTCCATGCAACTTTTTTTATCCATAAAAAGAAAATTTGCAGTTACTTTTTCATAATAATTTTCATAATTCCCATGTTACTAGCTCACGTTCAAAAATGTTGGACATTAAAAACATTCTTGAAAACTCTATCTAACATGAGATAAATTGGACTTTAACAACCATGGATTCTGTAGCAGGAGGCAAGATACCACTCAGGAAAGTCTGTTGAGAGTAAGAGCTGAGAAGCGCACTGGAAACACTAGTAGATAAAAAGAAATGCTTGGTCAAGGACTCAAGAATGAACTATGCTACTCAGCAGCCTGAAACGAACCTTTCTTTCATACCAACAATGAAGTTGCAAGTATTTCATAGGGATGCTCTGCAACAGAGTCCAAAATTACAGTTTAGCACAATACAGTTCTGAGAGTTGTTAACACTGAGTATCCTAAGTTGTTTTTTTTTTTTAGGAAAAGACCTTACAATATTTAGTTTATTTATTTATTATTGCATACATTTAATGCTTTCTCTTTACTATACCACTGTTGGTCCATTAGTGTTTTCAGAGAATGCCGTGCAATTGGTAAGTAATTCCAATGAGGGTTTTTCAAGGCATAAATATCATGGTGGAATCTAATAAGTTCTCTCTTAAATTACAGAAATTGTACATCAACTTAATTCAGCAACACGGAGAATTTTTTTTTAAAGTGCATAAATGTTTTGTTTCTTTTTAAAAGGTTAACAAAGAAATTAAACTATCCAATAGTTAGTAGACACCCAAAGATGAAAATAAAACAGTATATTTAAATTTGTTGCTTTTTATTAAAAATATGTGTGTCTTGCCCCTTGTGAAAGACACTCACAGCTTGGCTTGTCTTTAAATATCAGTCTAGTATATATTTTGAAAAGATGAAACATCAAAGAACAACAAAGACTGGTAACATAACGCTAAGACGGCTCTGGCAGCTTGAAGTATTATCATTGAAATGCATGATCTACCATAGCAAGATAAAGAACTAAATATCTTCCCACTTATCCTCTTACTCATTTCCAAAATCCACAAAAGGAAATAATTACAGAAGGAAGTAATATAATTTTAAATAGTTTTTACTCAATTGTCTGCTTCACTGTGTCTTTAGATGCTGCAACTGCTGGGCAACCTATGATCTTCTCCTGCCTTCACATCTTATTCTGTATGATTTAACAAAATGTTAAAGGCATGCATGAGGCAAATCAAGAGAACAGCTGTAACCATAATTCAAGCAAAATGTAAAATATAATAAAGTTTAAGGATTCTTTCCTGTGGAAATTGGTTCGACTTTTTCTGCTTTTCCTGACATAAGAATTATTTCACAAGTTTACTTTTAATATGGTCTTAATAAAACACAAGTCGCTTCATCCTGCCACCTATTTATAACTGGCAATATACTTTAAAAAAAAACCACAAACACAACATAAAGAAAGTAAAACTCATCATTTTAAACAGAAAACTTGCCACCACTATGTAGGTCTTTATCTAAAATATAAAACCTACTAAGAATAATTATCAAGCAAGCTGGTAAGTATATATTTTGAAAAAGTGTTTCTAATACTTTGGAAGGAAACAAACCAATACAAATTTAGTATACTGATTCCAAGAAGAAATACCAGTTTGAAACAGGAAAGCAATACTGAAAGAAACAAAACCAAAATTGAAATAAATATTTGAATCTTTTAAATAATTCAAAACATTGACAGCTCCTATTTTATAAGATGAATACGGGGAGAAGCAAGGGGGAAACATTCATTTTTTAAGAAAACAGCATTAGCCAAATGGGAAGCTTCAATATGGAGCTACTTTGGCTTTAAACGAGGTATACTGAACTGTCAGTACAGAAGACTCACACACTTTGTGCTTTATTAAACAGGGGAAGGCAATAAAAACTTGAAGCTGAGTAGCTGTCTGCAAGTAATAGTAAATCAGCTACTAATATTAAAAAGTGTTTCAGAATCTCGACATAAAAAATGCTATGCCTAGAAGACAAGAAAGCATCACACTACTAAAATGTCTGCATGAATAACCTTACTTTCTAATATGACATAAAATTATTTGGAGGCAGTATAGTTCAGTGACGTTCAGTCACATTTCAGATATTAGCAAGATTTCCATTAAAGTCTTTTTCGGATCTGAAAAGACTGATGTCAAGTTAACTTAAGAGTTTCATCTGCCTCTGATAAGGGAATATCATATGCCATTTTCTCGCACTATGACATTTTTCTGTTTCTTACAGTAAAATTACTGCTCATAGACAATGGGTCTTGTTCTTTCATTTTGAAACATCAAATGCTCTTTAAAATGGAACAACTCTAACATTCACATAATTGTATTCTTACAGTGTAAGTTTCTTATTTTGGCAAATTTCTTTTTACACGTTACTTTATGTTTTAACAAAAGATGAACTTGTTGGCTACATGTGGCAGTAGTGGCTGTATGCAGGCAAATAAAATCAACAGAAAAACAAAATCCTGGAACAGTTAACTTTTTTGAAATACTAGGATTGGTGAAGTTATGAGCTGCTGAAAACAGAGGTGGAAAGAAAAAAGCATGAACTGTATTACCTACAGCTACTTATAGTATTGTGAGACTATTAGCCTGAATCAGCCAGACCTGCATATCACATTGGCAGATTGCACTTAATGTTAAAAGAAGGATTATCTGGTGAAGAAAAGTAATGTAATACCCAAGTGATTAAACCTTTTGAAAAGTTTTCAGGAATTTCATTGACTGAAAGCAATTAATGTGATAAAAACCTAATATGAAATTAAGTTAACATGAAATTAAGTTAATATGAAATTAAATTTAGCAACCTATCACCTCAGCAATTATTATATTTCCACAGTCGTTTGCTTGCGAATCACCACACTTATTACAGCTGTATTAGTCAGAAGCAGAGGCTACCTGTGAAATACTAGCAAAAAAAGTCCTAGTGCTGATTTGCATGGAGAAATTCCATAGCTATGCTGGATTTGCACATCCATTGCTATGTCACTGATCTTCCTCCCTGATAAGCCAAAATTTTTCAACTCAACACAAGGAAAGCCATTTTTACAGACAGGAAAGAGAGTACTACAAAATACTTATAGTTCCATCAGTTATATGGGGCTTTCTGCAGTCTAAGCAACAGGGAGGAAGGAAAAGGACAAGGATCAAAGAAGAAAGTTGAGATTAACATTTAAAAAAGTCAAGTTTATCTAGAAATATAACTAAAGGAAAAAAAGGAAAAAAATCAAATACAGTGGATAATAATATGTATTTTGAAAATGTGCATGGTCTCACAGTTTATCAAGCACCTTCCCAACTACTGTATGAAGGCCTTAGTAATTGTGATTTTTGTTGTCACACTACTACAGCAAACCATCAGTAACTTGCACTATCTGATTCCTTCTCAGAGACCTACCTGGTTGCCTTCCTGAGAAAACCAGAATATTGTCTGGAACTCACACAAATGCGACGAGAGTGTACTACATGCTTAAAATAGGTAAGAATCAAAGAAAAGACAGGGAAGTAAACCAGCCATATGTATGCTAACTTACAGTTAACTGATTCAATTCTCATTCCTAATAGTGTGACCTTGTGTATCCCATGACTTCTGTTCAGATTTTGATGAATACATTATATATTTTTTTCTAGCTATTCAACTGGCATTACACATGCAAATACTCCAAAAATACAGCTAACTGCAGAGACGCACATCTGAGCAAGATAAAAAACAAGCCATACCTCCTACAGAAAGAAATGTCACACTGTTTCCACAAAAGAGCAAGCCTAGCCAGAGGGAAGTCTGCAATATGCAATACATTTTCAAAGTGTTGTTAGGGACTAGTGTCATGGCACAGAAGCACAGGAATGCTTTAATTAAAACACAAAACAAAACAACCCCCAGAAAAACAAAACCCAAAAAGAATTACTGCCATAACAAGTAGACAATATTATAAAACTTAAGAGTCTCAAACTAGTTGAGCAATTTTCCAGGTCTCTGTCTAGGTGTAAATATGGTTGGCACCTGAAAATTTTACCTCCCAACAGCTGGTCATTCAACAGTCACAAATACAATGTACGTCGTATAAGATGGTCAGTTCAGTTCTTAACATCCTAATTCCTCACTGAGCTTAGACACGTGATTAACTGATGGCAAAACTGTACCTATGCAGCATAACAGTGTAACCCTCAGAGTAGAGCTCTGAAAGCATGAAGCTGGATAAAGTCATTCCCAGGGTACGATTCAGCTCACCCTAATTTCAGACATCTACAGTGTAGTTGTCAACATGTGCGACCAGCTTCTAACCCTCCACTGAAGTCAATGGAGATTTAATCAATATAGCCAATGGAGTCTAGAGAGCGACTGCCTTTCAAACAGTTCTCAAGGCTCTGTTGACTGGGGTAAGACATAGGTTCCTAAACATACTTACCAGTGTGATTTGACATGCCATAAGGTATCCAAAATACCTACACAGAACAAGCAGATTTGACACAGGATGCACAGGACACCTACATGCTTCTGAAAGGCAGGTGGGATGCCCCACTGAGACTAAAATGATGATAGAAACCCATATTCAGGCACCTGACTCCTGCATTCCACTGTGTATAATCAGCAGATGTCTAGGTCAGATGGAGACGCTTTCATTGTAGGTACTGAAAAGGAACTTTTATTTTGGCAGAGGGAATCCAGAATCAGTGTAAGTGGAAAATATACTTTATCATTGACAAAAATTTAAAGCTAATCAAGTAACCACCACAGTTAATCTTCATAATCTGGTATTACAAACTTTTCATTCAAATGAACAGGGAACAGTGTGCTTTTGTTGGGTATATTTAAAGCAAATATTAGTAATTGTATGAAGAATATTGTTCATCTAATATTATAGTATGAGAGAACTATAAATGAGGTCCCAAGTCCAACAGCAGCTCTTTCTGTGAACCTCAGCAAGTTACAGCTTCTCTGCCTATTAGGATATCTAATCTAGGGCAAGAATTGTTCCTTCCATTTTTATTAATTAAAAAAAAATATTGAAGAAACCCCATATGCATACAGCTTATTTACAAATGAAGAATTATCCAATATCTTATATGTTATATATGTAACATTCTTAAATGTTTGGATATGTGACAGCACTAAAACATTCTCCAATTATTCAATTTCTCAACATGACAGTAATAGTTACAGAATAAAGATAATTAATAAGTTCTGCTATATCAATTAACTTTTTAAGAGACTTTCAGCTGAATCCTCCCTGCTGTACACAAGTAGTCAGCTAAATGTAATGACATTACAGCTGGAATATACAGGATTAGAATAATTTGATGCTCTGGTTAATACACATCTGTTACATGCAGCGTTTAGCCCGTATGTATTATTGTATTTTGTTGTTGCTGTCATTCAATGCTTCCTGAGCTAAGCTAAGCACATGATTATAAGCAAAGTTAAGTCAATCCCTATTTTATAAAGGCAGAGAAAAAATCTTAATAAACCGCAACAACTGGAAATACAGCTTCAGAGATCTCAGCAGTGAGAACTAGAAGTTTCCACTCTGTTTTCAAGGTCACTTAACACTACCAATCATTGAAAGCCCACAAAGCTTTCCTTGGTATATGAAATACACTTAGCATTTCCTCTTTGTTACACAAGAAGAAAAATCAGTGATTTTAACATGTTTCCTAAAGTATGCCCACATAAGAATACGCTATGTGAGTGAAGACCACAGTTGGAATCTTCTGGGAATACATATAAACGTAAGGAATTATCATCAGAGGTGTATAATACACCTAAAGTACTTGTATAGTCCTTCTACTGTTGACCACCAGCACCGATTATTGCCATTTACTTACCTCCTTGTCTACAGATCCAAGGAGCTTTCACATATTTACATCATAAACCTTCCTATACAAGAAATGTTTGTATTTTCTTTCTTGTGCATTGTACTTACCTAATCCTTTAGGAGTAATGCCACTGCTATCAGCAGGATTAACCACCCAGTAGTAGTATTTCAGAGTGTGCATTAACTGCAGTACTGTTCCTACTCTGCGGATAGTGTTATAGATCGTAGCTGTTCCAATGAATTCAGCTGACAAATAGGTATACAAAGACAGCTGCACCTGAAGAATGGAATAGTTATCCATGTAAATATAATTTCTGTACTAGTAACCTTAACCTGTAGTTTTTTTAGGATTTACTTTGGTTATGAGATAAAAACCTAAAAAATAATTCCAAATTTAGGTAGGACAGGGGCTGTACTGACACCTGGAATGACCTTCAGAGGTCCCTTCCAAACTAAATTTTCTATGCTTCTATGATTTAAGACATGATAAAGGTACTGGTTTGTTTTCTATTCTGGCTTTTTAAACTAAAAGCATGTATTTTTCAGATTTTAGGACCATGTCACTTTTCATTTTGGTCCACATTCCTCAACTGTGATTATTTAGGAAACCAACTAATTCATCATTACCAGAGATGAATGATAACTTTTAATAATTTTTATCAAACCAAAATACATAATTTAAATTAAAATGAAAGTTTATGTGAATGTGTAACAACAGATATCTCACCTTTTGCTTACAATTAAAAATACATGCTTTTATGCTTAATCTTTAGGAAAACAATCTAATCCAACCACTGAAAAAGGGATGCGATTTCTAGAAACAGTCTTTTAATAGTATAAGCCAGAACCTTAGGCAAGAATGTAACTTCTTTTATGAACTTATAAAAGACAATGGAGAATATAGTTAAACAGGGTATAGATTTCATGATCTAAAAAATCTTTGCTATTACCATGTTTTAAAATAAAAAAAATTAAAACACTAAATACCATGGTATAAAAGAATACTAGTATTTCACTTCATTGTCGGAGAATTGTAACATCATTCAAGTGTACAATTACCTTTGCAGGGGTATGTATCCAGATAGCAGGATTAAAAAGGATGTGATCACATAATTGCTTCAGTAGAGGTGCTCCATGAGACAATCCATCCAAATATTTTGCAAATGACAAAAATTGTTCCAGAACTGCTCTGGTTATATGAACTCTAGATGACTGGGGAAAAATAATCAGAAAGAAAAAGATAAAGAAAAACCTTCTTCATTAATATACTTAGAGCAGAAATATGAAGTGATATTTTTACCAGGCTCATTTTTACTAAATACATGCAACCTCATATGTTTTTATGTCATTGAATATGAAAGGAAAGTAAGAAAAAAAATTAACAGCAACTTATACTTTCTAATAATATTCACAGTTTTTCTAATGGATACATTTAACAGGTTAAAAACATTCATTAATAACTGAGGTAAAATCCTTTTCTGTTGTTGTTGTTTCGTTGGTTTTTTTTAATTAAAATCCAGTCAGGATTCTACATTTTACAGCACAGTACCTTCAGAACTCCATCTGAAGTCCTTAACTCTTCTTCAATTAATTATGTGTCTTACTGAAATAGGGTGTCACAGTATGTAAACACATATTACTGGTAGAGTTGCTTTTGTTTCTTAAACTTAAGTAGGTATTTGAAGGAGTTGGGTTCAAGGTTTCCTCAAATTTCAAGAAAGTCCTTCAGTTTCACAGCACGTGCTACAAAGTCACTCTTGAGACCGGCCCCTATGCACTAACGTGGCATGCAGACTTTGAGAAACTTCTTTACATACTAAGTTAACAAAAAGAACTAATAAGAAAAAACACTAAACATCCTTCCCCTTGCCTTCTCTACAAAATGTTCCAATTACTTTTAATACTGTAAGTACAGTCTGAGAATAGGCAGATCTGTTATTTTTGGAAGTGAAGTCCATTTGTCAGTAACACAAGTTCAGCCTGGATGCTGAGCTTCCTTTGGCTTGTACCTCACAATTCACAATAAACAGTCTGCAACTAATAAGAACAAAACTGTTATTTTGAAGTTCAAGTCAGGGAGAAAAAAAGCTTTCTGTCCTCTGAAGTATTTGATCTCATGCAAATGAACAACAGATAATCTACAAATAATAAATTTGAGCCTGGCTAGGAAACAAAAGCATTTTTTCCTGCCATGTGTGCCAACTGAATACAAGCATATACTGAAAAAATAAAATACATCCTTTTGAAAAACTGCAGCTAGGAAGAATATAGCATAAAAATATCCCCATAAAACAGCATATGCTGTAAGAATTATGTTGTGACAGAAATCAATCAAAATGCTTTAAATATTCACATACCCTGAGTTTAATGATAGTAGCAGGTGTTAATTAGAATAGTATGCCAACTTTTATTCTTTTTTAATTTAATGTACAACATTCTAAATTGATGTATTCAATGTGTGTGAGCCATAGTGCTCTATTCAAGAGAAAGGGACTCCATGAGAGCTAAGAGCTTTGTAAATTCATTCTGGTTATGTCATGAGAAAACCCACCATTGGAAAAAAAAAAACACCTCAGACTAGTTCTTCGACATTCTAAAACACACTTGCTTAGTTCAGAGAACAAAGCATAGAAAATAATCTGCTTTTAGGTATTACTTCAGTGAAGGTGAAGTCTTTACTGTAAGAATGTATTTCCCTAGCTGAAAATAACATAGAGAGCAGAAAGAGAGAAATTATTAATCATTCTTCTTCAAAGTTCAGTACATTTTTAAAGGTAAGATTATCGTTATTTAATTTCAGCATCGGACAACACAAACCTCTGGTCACAACTTCTTCTCAAATGATTGTTATACTGACCACACGCTAATGAAAAATACAGCAGCAGACATTCAGGAATGTCAGAGCCATGAGATTCAATTGTAAGAGTATTACTATCTTAGTACAGCTGACAGTACTTTGTTTTCAGATTATTAAATCACAGTAACAGGGTTTTGTCAGGGCTTTAGGCCAGGAAGCAGGTAATGTTCCTCAGATGAGCATCTGAACTAAATCTCAGTTTTGTGGTAACTGCTCATCATGTCTGAAAAAAAGCAAGTAAAGGAAGTGCCCCTTGCAACTGTTTCTTTCAGAAATGAAATTATTTTACAGTTTTTCTTCAAAGCAGTTCTTCAAATCTTCTTCAATGATTTCAGAACTGAGCCACAGAAGATTAACTTGATTTTTATTAACATACACAAAAAAAGAAATTTAAACCTAAATTATGACACATCTGTGATATGCTTGTACAAACTGGGAACAAGAGAATTTTCCTAAACAAGAGTTTGGGGGACAGAGTGGAGAAACACAAATGAAAATACATTAAAGTGATTCACAAACAGATCTAAAGTAAAAGCATAAATTAGACAAACAGGATCAACTCCAGGAAATTGATTCTTTGAATATTAGCATATAAAAGGATAAGGAAGGTGGAACGATTCCTGCAGACGACTTACAAGTATTACAAGTAAACAATGTCTTCTATCACAAAAATATTTTTGTTCCACCAGTCCTTTGAACAAAGTGATTGAAAATATCACAACGGCAGTAGAAATACTAAGAACAAAGATAAAAACCCCCTCCAAACATACCTTTTCAAGGAGGTAGCCAATGACTAGAAAGCCTTTTCCACCAAGCATTTGTTCTTGCATGGCAACTGAACTCTTAAGAAGCTCAACCAAGAAAGCCAATAGGGTAGCACTGCATGTAAAGAACAAGCATTTTTTCAGATTACAAATGTAGAAAAATCCATCTGTTACGTACTCAATATTCACCAGCTATTAAGTGAACAGAAACAGCCTTAAGGCGGTGAACAATTCCTTGAAAGAAAATCTTACTTTTTCTGTTGACAAATTTCTCGAGTGATTGTTCACATGTTACAATGGTAGGAGTGGGAGCTCACATTCAAACAGAAGTGCAAAGTCATTTTTTCAGCTCTCCTGATTTGACCAGGACTATCCCAGGTTTTAAATACCCAGTCCTGCAGCCTGCAGTTCTAGCCAAAGGTTTTGCAGTTGGAAGAGGCAGGAGATGAGGAGTTGGATCCAGCTGACAGTGCTAGAACGATGCAGGCAGGGGCTGTCTCAACCATTTTACCATCCAGACTAACTATGCTAAACAGCAAAATTTTCAGCCACGTGGTATATCATCGTTCCACACTTTCAGTCCCTAGAGTCACTACTACCCCAGAAATGAGGCATAAAATGGCTGAACATGCACGTGGGCAGTGATGCCCACCACAAACCACACTGGAACAGCAGCAGGGTGGAGAGCTTCCTTCACACTTTCTCCAGACCAAACGTGAGAATAATATCTAGGCCTGAGCAAATAAGGGTTGAGAATCACTTTCATCCAGTTAGGAAAGCACAGAGAGACTCCAGAGGCCACAAGGGAATCACCCAGCAGCCCAGCCCAGCCGTATCTGTAAGTGGGGTGTTCAGAAAGCACAGGGAGGGGAAAAAGTGTTCAGAAAAGGTTACAGTTTAGAAACAGAAAAGGTATGAAAGGCTTCAGGGGACAGATGGCAAGAAAGTGAAACTATGTTATGAAAACCAACAGTGGAAACGTAAGACAGATCAATGCACCACGGGGAAAAAATCACAGTCGACCCTTGGGTGGTGAGAGGGAAACACAAATGCACTCATCTGTTGCTGAAAAACCCAGAGGAAAGGGAGAAAGAAAAAAAATAACATTTATGACAGACAGAAAATATTTAAAATGATTTATCAATATCTCCAAAAGGTAAATGATGCATATACAGTGCATAAAGTCATTATTCCTTTTCTAAAATTAAAATAGGTATAACAGTTCCTAGCTGTACAGACAAATATCTGCAACTGTGAAAGTTCTCTCACGGGTGGTGGGCACAGACAAGACTGAAAACTGTGGCTTTTCTAGCTATGAAAAAATGAATTAAAGGACATATCCAATCTGCATTTTATAAATTTCAACTTTATTTTCAGTATCTAGTCAGCTAAAGGTTCACTTGCTCTCCAGATATAATCTTTTACTTTGAATTGAGATTGGCTAATACATGCCAGCACCTAAAAACACTCAGTGTGCTGAGGAAAACGAGATTTATTCTATTTGGTGAGCAAGGCTCCCATGCGAAAAGTACACAGGATAGGCTAAGTACATGCTGTGAACATGAAATAGTGCCTTGTCTTGCTTCATTTTTGAATGGTCACAATAATCAGTCTAAAATCACATACAGAATGCTCCACAGTGTCAGCAGTAAAAGAACACAGATATCCATTTACAATACTCCAAAGCTTTTATCAAAACAGCCTATCAATCTGTCACATCAATTTCAAATGAGGTTATATGCATCAATTTTTTCTTACCCCAACTGAAAGTTTCTATTGTATTTGTCATCTAAAATAAGATACTTATCATTTTTACTACATGACAATCCATAAGAAGCTCATATGAAGGACTGACAATTTATATTTAGAATTTTTTTTTTTAAATTGAATAGGTCAAAGAAAATTCCATGTAGATGGTGCTTACTATCATCCTTTATGAGTAACCTTATGACTTAGTAGGACAATGCATTATGCATATAGTTAAAAAAACGTACATCTTTGCAGGATTAGGACCTAAATTACAATAATAAATACTATTAATATTATATTGAAAAGTTAAAAAATATTCTTAAAAGGGATTTAAAAGATTGTTGTATCTTGAACATGGCACCAGACTTAAGTTTAAAAGGTTCTACTTCCACTTGTATAAGTGATTTATCAAAAGCCCTTTTCTTTGTACTGCAGTTTATTTTGTCCATTCTATGAACTTCGATGTAAACTCATGGGCTGGAGTTATCTCATATTAATCCAATCTCTACGCAATTGTTAGAAATTGTGATAGGGCTCTGAATACAAATTATAAGACACTCTGACACTGTAACAATGAAGATTCTTCTCTCTTCAATTACACATAAAACACGCCGGTCAACTCAGAAATAATCAGTGGCCAGTTAATATTTAACCATGTGACAGAGAGAGAAGCATACAAGCTGGTTCTATGTCAGAAAGACTGAATCAACAAAGTTTATTAATTCAGATGCAGATAGAACCCAAATATAATTTTTTAGATATTGTCCATGCAGGGTATGGCTGAACTGATTCATCCTGCCTGCCCACATTAGCTCTGCAAAGAGCTACCTTAGCTGTCACTGCACGTGATGCCGATGCTTCTAGTTCCAGGAAAATGTGTTATTTCAGCCAATACTTTGTGAATGAGCCATGCTTTTTCCCAAGTCCAAAATGGCTTTTAACATCTATCAAACCAGACACACAAAGACGCCACAAGCCAGCTCTGCAGAGTCAGCTCAGGTCTGCAAGCAGTAACTCCAGTTTCTAATCCTTCTGCATTATCCAAGATTGCCTCCATAAATAATTGAGTTCACTATAGTATACAGTAATTCAAATATTGGGATAGCACATGTGATTGCATCAATACACTTTACACTTTCAAGCACATAAAAATTTCCAAGTACAAGAAAAATCAGCAGTTAAGGAGAACCACCTGGCAGTCACGGAGAGGCACAATGAAGTTTAAGGTGAATACCATATAGGACCACAGTACTGATGAAAATTAGCACCAAAATTAAATGTAACTAGCAGTTTGTCCACAACATTATGCAGGAAATAAAGTAATTAAAAGATCTGTAATATTTTAACTGACAGAAGAACTGTAAAATCAAAATGGAAGTGTTTTTAAGTTCTCGCTGCACATACAGTACTGAAGGTATTACTACCTGAAGATGATCAGAGACGGGCAGAAAACGGCTTACATGCTTAGTCTGATCTTTTTTCCCAGAGATCTTGCTTACACTTGTTTCAGGTGAAACTCCTTTTTTGGAGGAGGAAGGAGGGAATGAAATTGCACTAAATAACAGCTGTTGCATGAAACAGTTTTTACATGTTATGTTATCTATCTCCTATACTTTATGATAGAGAGCATTCAATCTGCCTGAAAACACCCAACAGTTAACAATTCTGAGATATGCTCTCCCAAACTCTTCAAAATTTCTCTTTCCCCACATGTTCAGACTGACGTCAAGCAAACATTTAAGCATGTGTGTGTGTGTATATATATCTCTAAAAATAAAAATCCATATTGACAAGGATCTTTTGTCCTCAATATTGCATTCTAAGAATTTAGTCTTCTAGAGAACTGACTGCCTAATTTAGAGGATTGAATCTGGAACTTGTAACATATTTCTAAGGATAGTCAATTTATGTAGTCATCTTGGCAGCTGAAAATAAATTAAACCTGATAATGTGAAATATAAAAACTTTCTCAGCAGAACCAGGTTGCCAAAATTATGCTTTTAAAGAGGTAGCTGTTGACACAGGGTAAATAATATTGATTAGAAGACTGTCTGCTAAGATGAACAATTTTTCAAACAGAATTTAACAAACTTACCAGTAACTAAAATGCATCGGACTGCTGCAGGGCTCACATTAAACTTGCAAAATTCTGTGCACTGCCATACAAAATTTCTCTCCATTCTTGCCTAGTTTCAACTCCCCTAGATACAAAGGCAAATATAAAGGATACTTCAGCCCATTCCTACATCTCCTCTATAGCACGCCCTGCTTAGAACAGATAAGTTTGTCTGCAGTGCAGCTAAGATACAGATAGATACACAATGAAAGTATATACGTCAACCAACACTAAATCAGACAGAATTATGATTTCTACGGCAAATATAAATAATTTCAGGATGAATTTTTCCCAGCAGTTTTCCATTATTAAGAAGTAGAAAAAAATCCTTGCAGACAAAAACATGAAGATGCTGTATTTCCAATGGTTATGATACTGCTTATTCTATAATTAGTATATTGTAGAGACAGTAAGTCTCTGGAATGCTGTTTTGTAAAAAACTGATTAATTACATTGTTACAGCATTGCCTGATTTTCCCCTCAAACATACATGTCCTTTGTGAAGACTTAAAAAAGTTTTTTGACAAATAAAACAGAAGCACAGAATTGGTGTTCACAGCATACACTGTCTGACTGGAAGATGTTCGTAAGGATGCTTTCATGTTTGTACGTATTTATTGCAGTTGTGAAGTCCCTACTTTATAATTCAGACAGTTATTCTAATCATAGAATCATAGTAGAGTTTGGGTTGGAAGGGACCTTTAAAGGTCATCTAGTCCAACCCCCCAGCAATGAGCAGGGACATCTTTAACTTGATGAATTTTATGACATGCACCGTGAAGTTACAAATATCTCCTAGCTTATTTTATTCATCTAAATATATAGATATAACATAAATAACTATTATGTTTCAGTAGTTCATCATTATCTTTCAACAACACAATGTTTCAGCATCACAATCTTCAGTCAACAGTCATGCAATGTTGCTCCTTAAATAAAAAATATATATATATAAAAAAAAAATACTACAGATATTCTCAAAAACAACAGCTTCTGTAAATAAGTCTTCAAAATTCAAAAATATGACACTTCCTTCTTCATGTAAAATTACACACATAAGTAAATATTTCATTTTCACTGCCTATTGATATCTATTGAGTTTTAAAGAACCTTTTCATATTACACATAAAAGAAGCTCACAGCAGAAATGCCAAGGTTACAAAGCCTTTATGCTATGAGAATCACTGTACAACAAAGAGCTGCCTCTGTCAAATTCTAAACTGACTGGTAGTTCCCACTAAGTGAACAAT